CAAGGGTACAAGTCAACCACTTACTTTCAAAGGTGTATGTTCAGATTTTGGAGTTGTTCACTAATTCATAATTTACCTATTAATCAAGGGGTAATTAATCCTTAGTTAATGCGCAGTTAAACCTATTAATGAGGCGGGGAGGTATCCTTAAATGATTATGTTTCCATCAGGTTCAAGAATATTTACATTCCTAAAGGCTGCATTTTGCCAATATTGGAAAGCCTGAAATGATCTTCAAACTCTAAATTACTCAAATTACAATAATGTTAGATGTCCAAACAAATTTTAGTGTGGCACCAAATGAAATTTTACGAAGATGTTTACAAACTGATGTGACACTGAATGAATGAAAGAGAAAATATAAAAAATTTAAAAGTCGAACTCGTCGTATTCACTTTTTTATTCATTTTCTGTCACACACACGAGTTTTTACATAAATTTTTATAATATTTGTTTGTACGTCTAATATTACTTACTCAAATTATGCCAAAACTCCTAATAATAATGGTGATTTATAAATTTAGGATTGTGATGATATGAAGACCTCATAAAAGAGCCCATTAAGAAAAAAAAAAAAATAATTCATTAATAAATATCAGAATTTGCATTGCATATATCAGAAACTATTGTTAATAATTTCATGTCAATTGGACATATTTAGTTTTATTTTTTTATTAAAAAAGTGAAATTTGTAGGAATAAGATAAAAAATGTTTTAATTCATTGAACTGCTTTTTATAGAATACTAGGAATTCATCCAAAAACAAAAAATGAAGTGCATCAAATCACAGAGTATAAAGTCAAGAATCTTCTTAGCATATAGTAAATGGCTTAATTAACTTTATTATGCGGTATAATAATTTTATCAGATTCAATGTATAGAATTAAAGCCATGAAAAGTATATCTACAGTGATTCAATTGTTCATGAAAAATATTTGTTTCTTATTTATTAAGGATGAAGCCAATTCAGTCATTCAATATCCCGGCAACCGTTGTCTTTAGTTGACAACAAAAAGAGGAAGAAAAAGATTTTAATTAGATTTTTTATTTTGTATTTTGTTAAGTTAATGATTAATTAAAATCAGGATAAAAAATATAGATTCCAGTAACCAATGATAATTATTGACTCGATTATGGGGTCAAATCCCATGTACTTTCTAAGTCTTTGTTAGTGTCCTACCTCGACTAGGCATACTCAAGCTTACTGGTTTATAAGAGAAATTATCTTTGTATTCAAAAAAACCTTTTGGATGAAGAATCAAACTCACCGCAAATTTTATCATAGTATCAGAGTTAGGTTTAGTGAAACACTTAATAGACTTGACTCAACATATAGGCTTGACTGTAAAGGGAGACCTAACATATGGGCTTGATCGTGAGGGAAAGAGTTAAAGTCTCATACCGACTAGGCACGCTCAAGCTTGCTCGTTTGGAGTCCCACACCGACTAGACTTGCTCAATATGAGCTTGACCGTTAGGGAGAGAGTTAGAGTCCCACACCGACTAGGCACGTTCAAACCTGCTAGTTTGAAGTTTTACACCGACTAGACCTGCTCAATATGGGCTTGACCGTTAGAGGGAGAGTTGGAGTCCCACACTGATTAGGCCTGCTCAATAAGGGTGAGAGCAAGAGTTGGAGTCCTACACCGACTAGACACGCTCAAGCCTATTGGTTTATAATAGAGAATAATCATCCCATTCAAAAAAGCCTTATTGGATAGTAAGTTATGCATACCTCAAATTTTATTAGTATTGTTATTATAAGTTATAATTAATATTAAACAAAATTTAAGCTTATATTTAGAATTGGTTAAGCTGTATTTGCGGAAAGCGGGCTCCCGGGTCAAGCGTTTTCAGCAGAGCCCGATTTGGGTTTGCGGACCGGAACGGCTTATGAATTCGGCTGTGAACGGCTAGACAAGGGCAGGTGTTCGGGTTACAGACGATGGTATGTATACCCTTAGCAAAGGGTTGTTGAAGTAGGTTCCACTGAGGTGATTGTTCAGAACTCGGATCTGATGAATAGGTCCGATTTTTATTTAATTTCAATGGTATGATATCGGTTCTTGGCCATCTTCCATGCAAAATCCAGATCAAGGAGAGAGTGATCCTTCTTCGTGGATTATGATCCCACGTCGACGTGTTTGATATCAAAGACTCTGCCGGAGGAGGAGCCCCAGCGGTTGGTTCGGGTTCCGGGTCAGGTTCTGTTTCAGCTTCTGTTGCTAATAATAATCCGCATTTCTAAGGGAATTCAGTTTGAGAATCTAGTTCAACTTCTTTAACTGAAAACCCAAGTGGAGTTTCTTTACAGCAACAGCAAATTCAGCAGTCACAGTCGTTTTTCTCAAAAGAGTTAATTCTCTGAATATGCTTATGACCACAGAAACGGGAATTCTCATCTGTTGAAGCCGAATCAGGGAGATATTGAATTTGCTGAGAGTAAGAGAAGTGGAGTATTTTTTTCGAGTAATTCTCATTTGGTAGCAGAAGAGAGTAATAAGAAGAAAAGATCGCCTACTTCCCGAGGAAGTAACGACGAAGGGATGCTTTCGTTACTTCCGGTGTGATATTGCCTTCTTCGGGGTTGTAATCTTCTGGTGGCGGAGGCGATTCTGATCATTCTGATCTTGAGGCTTCTGTTGTTAAGAGGTTGATAGTAGCAGGATTGTGGAACCTGAAAAGACGCCGAAAACGAGGGAGAAAGCCAGCAAATGGTAGAGAAGAGCCATTGATCATGTCGAAGCAGAGCGTCAAAGAAGAGAGAAGCTCAATCAGAGGTTCTATGCTCTGAGAGCTGTTGTACCTAATGTTTCAAAGATGGATAAAGCTTCACTTCTCGGTGATGCAATTTCGTATATTAATGAACTTAAAAGCAAGCTTGTAAATGCTGAATCTGATAAAGAGGATCTCCAAACCCAGTTGGAATCGATGAAGCAAGAATTCGGTGGTGGTAAAGAATCCCGCCAGGGCCAACAACATCCGATCAAGACCTCAAAATGTCGAGCCATGCTAGTAGTTGATTGATTGGATATTGAAGTGAAGGTTATTGGATGGGACGCGATGATCAGGATTCAATCAAGTAAAAGAACCACCCTGCAGCTAAGCTAATGGCAGCCTGTGAAGAGTTGACTTGGAGTTCATCACGCCCAGTATGTCTAGTGAATGAATGATGTCTAATATTTTATGCGAAAAAGGGCGAAGCAAAAACGCAATCAGGGCAAGACGACACAATTATCTCTTGTGACGCCAACGCGTCCTTTTTGTAAGTTTTATTATTTTAATTATATTTCTCTTAAGATATTATCTAACTATAGTTAAACAGGGAATTAACTTGAGTTAGCGATGAATAGCCGATTTTTTCCTACCACTCGGCGGCATTTTATTACAACACACAACCAGATAGTGCTTTGAACTTGGAGTGAAATGATAAAAAGTAAACAGTACATATTCTATTTATGCTGCATTTTGAAATATAAACCTCCTCCCATCACTTTTTTGAGATGAGATTTATGTATTAATACAATTTCGCTTTAAATAAATTCGAGAAAATAGGAAAAAGTCTACATCTTCCACAATTTTTAACTAAGGCCGAATGACTTACATCTACTTAAGATTTATCATAATGATAAATTAGTATCTAAAAGGTTTGAAAACGATAAACTGATACCTTCCGTTATGCGATGTTAGTGATTTCCGTTTGCTAATGGTGAAAAAACTAGAATGTCCTTGAAAGTTTGATATTTTTTTTTTATAAATTTAAAAATTTATAAAACCCCCCTAGATTTGCTAATTTAACTAAACAGCCCAATATATAAAAAATTTGTAAAATGACAAAAATACCCCCACCACTTGCAGTGCTAGATTCCAGCCACCACCGCCGGAATTTTGCTGAAAAATTGCGTTACGACATAGATCGATCGGATCTGTGTCGTAACGCATCGATATGACCTTTTTCGGCCAGATCTACAGCCAAATTTGGCCGTCAACGACCACCAAACTCCATCTTTGGCCGTCGACGGCCAAAGATGTGGCCGTCGTTGTCGTTGATGGCCAGATCGATGAATTACCAACCATTTCTGGGTGGTGTAAACCGTTGTGACAGATTTCGGCTACTATTAGAGGTGGTTGCCGGAATCTGGCAAGTATGGGTGGGTGGGGGTGTTTTTTGTTAATTTTTAAACTTTTTTCTGAGGGTATTTGATGAAATTAATAAACTTAAGAGGTCTAAAAATAATTAAAAAATAGACTAATATTTCTCAAATAAAGTTTGGTGATTGTACATGAAATTACTGTATTATCCTTTTAGCAAACAAAAATCACTAACAGCATATGACGGAAGGTACTAGTTTATCGTTTCTAAACCTTTTGGGTATCAATTTGTCATTGAGGTAAACCTTGGATGGGTGTAAGTTGTTTCCCCTTTAAATAATACACTTATCCTTAATTTAGTGTATGTTTTTAATTATTATTTTTCGTTTTTAATTTTGTAAATTTATTAATAATATTGCAAATTTCAAGTAGTTTCCAAATAAGACAGAGTAAACCCAAGTGAGAATTTTGAATACAAAATAATAAATATTTTTAAAATTTTCTTATTATATCTAAATCTGTAATTAATTACATTTGTTAAGATTATTTTAATTTTGTAAGGAAAAAAAAAAAAACTCTTATTTTAATAAGAAATTTAATTCTCGGACTATTAAGAAAATGATTAACCATGATATCTCTTCATGTTATTATCTTCTTTCTCTTCCTTTTCGAAATAAAATCATATTAGTTTGGATATTGAATTCGTTTAGTAGAATAAATTTACACCACACAGTTCACATTCTCTTTACCTCACCTCACTCAAAACACTATCCATCCCAACCAATGACAGATGTCCACATTTGTGTCAGGTGTCACTCACCAAAGCCAACCCTAGTTCACTCAACTAACTAATAGACGCCGGCTTTTTCCAGATTAAATCGTCCTTCCTCCTTTCCCCGAAACACCCCCTCTGATTTTTCACTTGCTTAAACTAAAATTCAGCTCAAATTCACTCCAAATAAATCCCAAACCCAAATGCACTCTAAATGAACTCCCCCTCCCCTCTCGTCTCTTAACATCATCTCTATCTCCATCTTCTTCATCTAAACATCTTAATTATTTTCTTCTGTCAATGTTATGACGGACTACCGGTTGCCACCCACCATTAATCTTTGGACCGACGACAACGGTTCTGTTATGGAAGCTTTCATGACCTCTGATTTAACCGGTCTGTGGCCTCCTTCTCAATCCTCTGCATCTACACCTGACCCTTCCAAAACTCACCTTCCTTCGTCTTCACAGCCCTTCAATCAAGAAACCCTCCAGCAACGCCTTCAGCAATTGATCGAAGGCGCACGGGAGAGCTGGACCTACGCCATCTTCTGGCAATCCTCTTGCGATTACTCCGGCGCCTCCCTTTTGGGCTGGGGTGATGGCTACTATAAAGGGGAAGGCGATAAAGGCAAAGCCAAACTCAAAACTTCATCCGCTGTTGAACAGGAGCACCGTAAAAAGGTGCTCCGCGAGCTCAACTCCTTGATTTCTGGATCAATGGCCCCCACCGACGATTCCGTTGATGAAGAAGTTACTGATACGGAATGGTTCTTTTTGGTTTCTATGACTCAATCATTTTTCGTTAATGGAGGCGGGCTCCCGGGTCAAGCGTTTTTCAGCAGCAGCCCGATTTGGGTTTGCGGACCGGAACGGCTTATGAATTCGGGCTGTGAACGGGCTAGACAAGGGCAGGTGTTCGGGTTACAGACGATGGTATGTATACCCTTAGCAAACGGGGTTGTTGAAGTAGGTTCCACTGAGGTGATTGTTCAGAACTCGGATCTGATGAATAAGGTCCGATTTTTATTTAATTTCAATGGTATGGATATCGGTTCTTGGCCATCTTCCATGCAAAATCCAGATCAAGGAGAGAGTGATCCTTCTTCGTGGATTAATGATCCCACGTCGACTGTGTTTGATATCAAAGACTCTGCCGGAGGAGGAGCCCCAGCGGTTGGTTCGGGTTCCGGGTCAGGTTCTGTTTCAGCTTCTGTTGCTAATAATAATCCGCAGATTTCTAAGGGAATTCAGTTTGAGAATCCTAGTTCAACTTCTTTAACTGAAAACCCAAGTGGAGTTTCTTTACAGCAACAGCAAATTCAGCAGTCACAGTCGTTTTTCTCAAAAGAGTTTAATTTCTCTGAATATGCTTATGACCACAGAAACGGGAATTCTCATCTGTTGAAGCCGGAATCAGGGGAGATATTGAATTTTGCTGAGAGTAAGAGAAGTGGGAGTAATTTGTTTTCGAGTAATTCTCATTTGGTAGCAGAAGAGAGTAATAAGAAGAAAAGATCGCCTACTTCCCGAGGAAGTAACGACGAAGGGATGCTTTCGTTTACTTCCGGTGTGATATTGCCTTCTTCGGGTGTTGTAAAGTCTTCTGGTGGCGGAGGCGATTCTGATCATTCTGATCTTGAGGCTTCTGTTGTTAAGGAGGTTGATAGTAGCAGGATTGTGGAACCTGAAAAGAAGCCACGAAAACGAGGGAGAAAGCCAGCAAATGGTAGAGAAGAGCCATTGAATCATGTCGAAGCAGAGCGTCAAAGAAGAGAGAAGCTCAATCAGAGGTTCTATGCTCTGAGAGCTGTTGTACCTAATGTTTCAAAGATGGATAAAGCTTCACTTCTCGGTGATGCAATTTCGTATATTAATGAACTTAAAAGCAAGCTTGTAAATGCTGAATCTGATAAAGAGGATCTCCAAACCCAGTTGGAATCGATGAAGCAAGAATTCGGTGGTGGTAAAGAATCCCGTCCAGGGCCAACAACATCCGATCAAGACCTCAAAATGTCGAGCCATGCTAGTAAGTTGATTGATATGGATATTGAAGTGAAGGTTATTGGATGGGACGCGATGATCAGGATTCAATCAAGTAAAAAGAACCACCCTGCAGCTAAGCTAATGGCAGCCTTGAAAGAGTTGGACTTGGAGGTTCATCACGCCAGTATGTCAGTAGTGAATGAATTGATGATCCAACAAGCGACAGTGAAGATGGGAAGTCGGTTTTACACCCAAGAGCAGCTCAAGAACATCCTAGTAGCCAAAGTTGGTGACAGTCGATAAGAGTTTGTCAAAAGTGGTTAAATTTGGCATCAGGTAGAGCTTCATATGATTCCATTGTTGTTAACGTTGTATGGCTCTGGGACATTTTAAGGCTTCCCAGTAGCGCACGCAGTCTCTGTAATATAGGCATATTTTGTTGTTCTACTTGTTCTTCAGTAGCTTTTAGTATTAAGTCTAGTTTGCAGATGCAGATGATTTGAATTATCAAGGAGCTGAACTCATGAGTATTAGGTTTGTGTCTTTAAGGATGAACGTTATTAGGCTCTCGATCAATTGGATATAGCTTTTTTTTTTTTTTCGTGTTGAATGTATAGTTCTAAATTTGAACCTAATTAAATTATTTCTGTTCTATGATTAGTCTTCTTTGAGAGTAGAAGAAATGAAGAGAAGATTTCTGGGGTTTGATCGTTTTGAATTGAATTATTTTGGAACACTTTAAGTTAGTTTCTCATATTTAACCAAGGTTTTTTGAGTTTTGACACAATCTTAGTGATAAAATTGCACTAAAATGGGTGATGGCGAAAGGGCTAAATTTTAATTTGAATTTTACATCTTTAATTGGCACATTCGAGGGTCCAAGTCAACCACTTACTTTCAAAGGTGTATGTTCAGATTTTGGAGTTGTTCACTAATTCATAATTTACCTATTAATCAAGGGGCAATTAATCCATAGTTAATGAGTAGTTAATACTATTAATGAGGAGGGGTAATCAATCTCCAACTGAGGTATCCTTAAATGATTATGTTTCCATCAGGTTCAAGAATATTTACATTCCTAAAGGCTGCATTTTGCTAATCTTGGAAAGCCTCAAACTCTAAATTACTCAAATTACAATAATGTGAGATGTCCAAACAAATTTTAGTGTGGCACCAAATGAAATTTTACGAAGATGTTTACAAACTGATGTGACACTGAATGAATGAAAGAGAAAATATAAAAAATTTAAAAGTCGAACTCGTCGTATTCACTTTTTTATTCATTTTCTGTCACACACACGAGTTTTTACATAAATTTTTATAATATTTGTTTGTACGTCTAATATTACTTACTCAAATTATGCCAAAACTCCTGATAATAATGGTGATTTATAAATTTAGGATTGTGATAATATGATGACCTCATAAAAGAGCCCATTAAGAAAAAAAAATATTCATTAATAAATATCAGGATTTGCATTGCATATATCAGAAACTGTTGTTAATAATTTCATATCAATTGGACATATTTAGTTTTATTTTTGATTAAAAAAATGAAATTTGTAGGAATTAATAAGATAAAAATGTTTTAATTCATTGAACTGCTTTTTATAGAATACTAGGAATTCATCCAAAAACAAAAAATGAAGTGCATCAAATCACAGAGTATAAAGTCAAGAATCTTCTTAGCATATGGTAAATGGCTTAATTAACTTTATTATGCGGTATAATAATTTTATCAGATTCAATGTACAAACAAAACAAGAAATAGAATTAAAGCCATGAAAAGTATATCCACGGTGATTCAATTGTTCATGAAAAATATTTGTTTCTTATTTCTTAAGGATGAAGCCAACTCAATCATTCAATATTCCGACAACCTTTATCTTTAGTTGACAACAAAAAGAGGAAGAAAAAGATTTTAATTAGATTTTTTATTTTGTATTTTGTTAAGTTATGATTAATTAAAATCAGGATAAAAAATATAAATTCCAGTAACCAATGATAATTAAAATCAGGATAAATATACTTGCTAAGTCTTTATTAGAGTCTCAACCCGACTAGACACGTTCAAGCTTACTGGTTTATAAGAGAAATAATTTGCCTATTCAAAAGATCTTATTGGATGAAGAATTAGACTCACTTCAAATTCTATCATAGTATCAGAGTCAGGTTTAGTGAAGCACTTAATAGACTTGACTCAACATACAGGCTTGACTGTGAGGGGGTGACCTAACATATGGGCTTGATCGTAAGGGAAAAAGTTGGAGTCTCACACCGATTAGGCACGCTCAAGCCTACTAGTTTGAAGTCTCACACCGACTAGACTCGCTCATTATGGGCTTGACAGTTACGGAGAGAGTTGGAGTCTCACACCGATTAGACACACTCAGGCCTACTGGTTTGGAGTCTTACATCGACTAGACCCGCTCAATATGGGCTTGACCGTTAAAGGGAGAGTTGAAGTCCCACACTGACTAGGCCTGCTCAATAAGGGTGAGGGGAAGAGTTGGAGTCTCGCACCGACTAGGCATGCTCAAGCCTACTGATTTATAATAGAGGATAATCCTCCCATTCAAAAAGGCTTTATTGAATAGTGAGTTATGTTTACCTCAAATTTTATTGGTATTGTTATTATAAGTTATAATTAATATTAAACAAAATTTAAGCTTATATTTAGAATTGGTTAAGCTGTATTTGCGGAAATAATTAAAATGACCAAAACATAGCAATGGTTGTTATTCTTTCTCAACCAAAAGAGGTTACATTAACTACGCATCATATCTTATCTGTAAAATTTTGTTTTTTCTCTTCTCTTTAATTGCATGCATTCTACTCTCATGTAGCCTCACACCCCTCCATTTCTTCAAACCCTCTCTTTCTCCTGCGATAATAGAAAAATAGTGTAAATATACTAAATAATATAGCAGCACAATGACTCTCAATTGCCTGAAATGCAGGACCAATTCTGAAAAATTCAGTCACGATAATGAGCGTTATAGGAAATTATGTTGTATAAAGGTTGAGAGGAGCTGGTCGGGACCGTTAGCTTCACCGCCATACGAGCAAATAAGAGAGCCTGTAACTTCGCAGTCGATGCAGCTGGTTTCTTCTAACAAGGTGAAGAAGGGTCATCGCCGATATAAGAGTACAAGCGTGGTGGCGTTTGAAGAAAACACTGAGCCTAGGTTGGTGAGAAGCTCAGGAATGAGAAGGGACTGGAGCTTTGAGAATTTGGGACAAAGGAATGCATTGAGATGAGAAATTGAAGATAAACACCAACAACAACTCAGGATGAGGAGATTGAGTTGTGAATTATTATATATAATGTCTAATTTGTTTTACTTTACTTTACTTTCTCTGTTTGTTTTATTTAATTTGTTGATTTTTAAATTTTTAGTACATTGTGATTTCAATGTAATAGTAAACCTAAGAAGTTCGCATATGTATAATGAAATTTATAGGAGGAGTGGACTGGGGTGTGTTGTTCATATAATGCTAAAGAAAATTTTGTGTGAATTTATTATAATCTTATTTCGGTTTTACTAGTGCTTCATTTCATTTCCCTTTTGTAAATGGTCTTGTTAATTAATTCAAGGGAAAAACCCTTTGCTTAATTATAATCTATTTTGATTGTCATATATTTAGTTTGTTCTTTCAATTGGTGGAGTTCTCGTTTAAGGACTACATCATCTTCTCTTGTAATTACAATGCAAAACATAGCTACGAAGCCTTTGTTGTATTACCTTATCTTATTTTGCATTGGGTTTGTTAACAGAAGAAAGGTACATTTCCATTTCTCATTCTATTTCTCTTAAATGGCAAGGCCCATGGAGGATGGCTACATTAATGGGTTAAGTGAAAAACATGTTAATTGCAGTAGCCCAATTGTGCTTCTACAAGAAGTGGCTTTTAAGTTTCATTGTAGGCTTAAAAGAGAGAGCTAAGAACTTCAACTGCACTTTGGGGAGAATATGGAAACTTCAGCTTGATATCAAGAAAGAATACGAAGTTGAAACATATGCTATGACCACCAAGGGTTACCATTCTTACGTTCATAATAATTGTCGAAGTATTATTCATAGCATTTTCAAAACACATCTAGACCAACTAGGCAACAAAAATATCATTGCTTTTGAATAAGCAAAAGTTTAAATTTCATAATTTGTAACGATGAACCATATATACCAATCCTTGTATTGAAAGGAGACAATCTCAGATTGATGTCAAATTTCAGCCTAACATTGCTATTAGGCTTCTGGGTACAAAATCAGCAATAACCACATAGGAATCTCTGAATCAGTATATCTTTTGATTCTCCATTTCTCCTTTTCATCTCAAACAGAAAAAAAAAAAACTGTAAACATTACCAGAAACATGACAAAAGAGGTTCTTCAACCATGACAAACTAACTTACCGCGACAGTGTAAGTTCTATTAGCCATGCAGTCAGGTGTCAGCAGACACTCAATTTCTATATACATTGTTCATTAGAAAACATCTTGGGGCATTAACCACATTAGCTTTTCTTATTTCTAGCCTCTGCTTTCCAATCTCTACGCCGCAGCTTTGTTTTATTCGTTTCAATATTAACCAAGCCCAGAGAAGAAACAAATTTATTTTCTAGTGGCGTTTCTGCCTTATTTCCAGGGGGCAAAAGTGTCTGGCTATCAGTAGTGTAGTTAAAAGCAGGTTTAACAGAACCATTAATTGTATCTTCTTCACCCTTAATTATAGAAGCCCTTCTCGCATCCTTTTTCCAATTTCGTTTACAGTAAACACGGTCTACGCAATTGCTAAGACTTGCATTTAGTTGCAGGTCAACTTGAGGTGTCAGTGGCTGATTTATAACAGTAGTCTTCTTTAAGTCTGCTTCAAGGCGTTTCCGGGCCCTATATCTACGCTGCCGTTCTCGGTTCTTCAGCCGACGAGCCATAATGTCATTACGGCCTTTGTTATGGTCTCTTCGATCAAGGGTGGTCATCATTAAACTATCATGTGCACCCGCATCGTTCATACTCTGCCCGTTTTCCATTGCATAGAATCATCAACTAGCTTGTGTTTCAGCAGCAGTCATACTTATTCCTCTTCCATTTTGTATAGTGGTCACCATCTGCATGATCAAGAAGCAAAAATCTGAGCAACAGTGCACGCTTTCCAGTTTAACAAAAACTTCAGCCACTAACTTTTAGTTCTATGATCAATGTAATATCTTTCAACTAACTTGAAAGAAGATTTTGGAATGGGATTCACTACCCTTTCTATCCAAAACCACATCATCAAGGAGCTTTATTAAACAAGAAGATTCTGGAAAATGAGCAGTTCTTTATGCAAATTTTTATATTAGCAAGAGGAAAAACTTTGATTTATTGTAAATGCACTCATAACTAATATATTTCCCTGATATGCTCAACAAAAATGATAATGTCAATTGCAGTATATGGGGTTAAAAATGAAAATCCCTCAGAGGTGCATATCCTAAATTTTCTTTTTCTTTTTCCTCCATTGAGTAACATAAGGTTCTGATGACAGGGGATACAAAATGGAATTAAATTAAGACTTCCCCAGAGATGCCATTTGAATATGTGATAGAGACAACTCTGAACTAAATTAAAATATTAGATATACTTTTCCTATGTACAAATTTTCTTTAGGTGAATTTCAGAAATTCAAAGAAGTTCACCTTTTCCTCAGCATCTCACTGAACAGATAGCAGTGCATCTCTGGCCACAGATTTGTTGTCGAACTGCAATTTTTTATTCTTATGCAGGCCTAGGCAGCCAAAAACACATATTGTACTGTTATCATCTGTCAAATTTCTGAATCACAATGACTGAAAAAGTATATACACTAGATTAGGTGGACAAGCACAGTTATAAATGATTCAGTCTTCATCTAGGAGTTGTCACTTATCTAGTGCATCGACACGTGTATTCAACACTACCCATAAATACCGATCCCCACAATGTAGGATTCATTAACACCCATAACACTTGCCAACGATACAAGGTCTTATTTACGAATAATGGTGGCAAATAAATATGGGCAGCTTTGAATAAAATTACTGTATACATTCATTCTTCACCAAAACAATCGATTTTACAATATCATAACATTATCCTGAAAAAAAACCCATGATGAAAACTATTTTCTTTCCTCCACTATATGAGCCATAAAAGTAATTGGATTCCTAACTCTTAAGTATTTAGCAAATTAGAAAGCATATTTCCACCTTCAGGTAGAAACAAAATCCAGAAATTAAAATGTGGAACATGCATATTATCATATTGCTAGGTGATTTGACCACCTTTAATATCTCATTCTATTATATTTCCATAATTAGACTACAGGTTAGGTAAAAATTTTGTAGTACTCATGTTGTAACCTCAGGTATGACTCAGATTTGATAAATTCTCCAACTTTTAATAGTTCACTTCAATCAACTACATTAGTTTCCAAACTCAGTCATTAATATATTCGCAACGTCATACTGCAGAGAGTTTATTCATTATTCAGCAAAGACTACACAACCTTAATCGGAATGGCAAAAAAAGGAAACTTGACAGCTTTTAAGTGTAATTCAAATTGATACATAACCCAAAAATATACATATAAAAATATGAACAGAGTATGAACCGAATTTATCAGAACGCCGAACCCATGTGCCAATTATTCAATAGCATCATGACATAAATGCATATAAGTAATCAAATTCCAAAACAAGGTTTTATCTTTATTTTCTTTAATACAGAAAGAGAAACAGTTTATATGAATAAATCAGGAGAAATAAGTAAAAGGGGTTACTGATCTAGCCTTAAATAGAATAAGAAATTGTAAAAAATATGTTATAGAAATTAATATACCATAAAAAAAAAAGGTGATGAGATGTACCTGATGAAATGCAGAAAGAGTGTAGTATTGTTGAAAAAACAAGCAGAAAAATAGATGGATAGATAGATAAAAGGAAGAAGAGAGGGCGAGAGAGAGAAAGAAGAAGTGAAGAGGTGTTTGTAAGAGCAAAGAAAGCGGTGGTGGTCGGACTCAGGGATGAAGTAGCTTCAGCGTTTTAAGGAGAGCGATTTTAATGTTATTTATGTTAACGAGAAAAACGAGTCAAAATTAAATTAACGCCATTCCCATCCCATCCCATCCCATGCCCTTCCCTTCCCTGAGCCTAAGCCCTAACCAAACCTTGTTCTTGCCCTGTGTTTTTCATGGGCTTTTCTCTCCACCCCAGAGAGATGAGTAAATTCTAAATGCACCCATCATGTTTTAACAGTATTAAAACATCCCTATCATAGTATCATTAAAAGTTAAAACCATGTTTAAAAAAGTCAACAAGGATATTTTAGTCTTTATACAAGAGTAAATATCTAATAGGCACTAGAGTTTTAATCTTTAAATTGATGGGCATTATTATCGTTTCATAATATAAAAATAGTTTTTTTTTTTTTTCTCTTTTTATCCCTCCCTTTTCCCTCTTTCTTTCTCTTTTCTCAAAAAAATATAATGAAAAATGAACAAAAAGAAAGTAAACTAATTTTTTAAAATGGCATATAAATAATAATTTCACAATAATAATAAATTCAAGTGCTATATAACCACTCAATCACAATTTCATGAACTAAAAGGGCTTTTTGGTCATTGCATGCTCGATGAGATTCACAAAGTCATTCAGGTAATTTTCTTTTGAAAGAATGGCTCAGTCAGGTTGTTACTGTACTACTATTTTAATTTCTTATCACCATCACATTGGGGTGGTGGCGCAGTTGGCTAGCGCGTAGGTCTCATAGCTTGGATTTGAGTTATCCTGAGGTCGAGAGTTCGAGCCTCTCTCACCCCAAATAAGTTTTTTCATTGAGTTTTACAGCATGAGGCTGCCATTCATGCAATTTTCGTAGACCCAGTGTGTACGAAGGTATAAGGTGGCTGCTGATGCTGCCATTTGCCTAACTCTCTGTTAACTTCAACTCATTTTTCTTCTATACGCTCCTGCAGCTTATTTACTTTTAGTCTTATCATCTGCTTGACAAAATTGAGATTGTTTTGGACTAACATGGTTACTTATTATTAATATATTAATTCAAGACTATTTAATTGACGATTTTGTTGTTGAAATTTGGAGGCTGCCTTGTTTCAAAATTTTATTTTAATTGAAAAAAAAAAAAGTAGGGAAATGGGGACACATCATCCAAATTTTAATTATAAAAATCAAAACGTGATCGCTGCGTTAATAAATGATAAAATAGGAGTCCACAATCAATGAGGACGACGAAGACCATCCAGAAGAAGAAATTAATAAAGTGGGATTGGACAATTTGATAAAACATCGGCGCTAACTCCGTTTCCTTCCCTAGTTTGACTTCCACCTAATCGTAATCCCTTCTTCACTTGCTTTATTCTTCCAAATAAAGGTTTTATATATAGTTAGTTAGTTAAGTTATGTATGTATTGTTTATTCACAAAATTAATTATATTCAACATCCAATTATACTCACCAATTACCATTTGCCTCACACCTACTCCGCTCCCATACGCAGGTTTTTTTTTTTTTTTTAATTTTGTTATCCTGTGTTTGAGCTAGTTTATACTCATCTCAACTAGTCTCATGATCTTGAACAAAACTTCCGAAATAAAACAAGTCTTGCAGTCCATGACCAACAAATATTAGCGACCGTTCTTGTGATTTAAACCTGAGATCACAAGGAAAGCAAACCCCTTAATCCTAAGCCTTTTACTTCGCTCCCATAGGGTTTGCGGTTGTGCCCTTGTGGGAATGTAGCAGTAGCACCTGCCAAATTACTATTCAAACATATATTTTATTACATTCATCTCAATAAATTTAAAATTTCTTATTGGGTCGGATTTTTTTCGATTTTCATATAAACTATGTCCCCTCCTCTCTACAAGATAAAAACTTTTTATGTCAGTTAATATGATTAGCGAATTCCCTTTAATAAATATGATGTTGACACATAAATAATCACATAAGTTAGAATATAAAGTTTGGATCCAATTTTGTATATGTAGTAATTGTTTCTTAAAACTTTTCGAGGATTACTCATCTAACAAGATCAAGTTTTTAACAAACACCCAACCTTATTGCTTATGTCAGATTAATAACATAATCAATCTTAGAGGTTATGTAGTGAATTAAAATCTCTAGATATGAAACTTTGATTTAAATTTGGATACAAAATTATAAGTTTAATTTGTCTTAGAGTAAACGGCTTTTACCCACCCAAATAATGGTTTAGTGACACTTTTCCACCTACAGACTTTTAAAATACCACTTTACTGTCAAATTTATATTATGTTTCCGATTCCGGCATTGTTACGACCCCATATCACCACCATTCTCTTATCCGATCATCACTCACCAAAACCCCTCATGCTATACTTTCGTTGACTCCGCCAATCACCATCAATCAAGAAATTAGGGTTTGTGCAGCCGTCTCTTTGCAAGTCAAATTCTGATAAATTCCAACTACTAAAATCTAACATTTCACCACCAAAAGACTCATCGACTTCCCCTTCCTCGCCAGAATATAAACTTAGATAGTAAAATGATATTTTAAAAATTCGTGGGTAAGAAAGTGTTATTAAATCATTATTTGAGTGGGAAAAAAGCCGTTAACTCTTTGTCTTAATTCATAATTAAGATCTAACAAGTAACAACACAGTTAATGACATTAATTCCAATTAAAGAAACTCCTTTGTGTGGTCATGTCACAAGTTTTATTTATAATCTAACATATCTTAATCACACTATTATGTGTTAATCTTCCGAGTTTAGCATGACCTAACACTGTATGTTAATGATTATAATTAGGAAATTATTTAATTTAATATATATTGTAGTAATATTAAAGATATTGGTTAGTTTTCACCAAACATTATAAACGTAAGAAGGGAAATCCAGTTAAGATAAAAATAAGGATTGGACTAAGACTAACCATTGTCAGCATGTCAGCCCACCTCACTGGAATCCCCCAACCTCCTCGCTTGGGTCCTACACGAACACCTCACCCACTTACTTTTTTATTTCCAATTTCTTCCATTTTCAGTTCTATTTTGACCTTGTCAACCCAACCCAATCCCCCTCTTCTCTCTCAATTAGGGTTTCTTCTTTTCTTGTAATTCCCACTTTCCATTTCAACTTAACTTAACTTGGCTCTTTTTTTAAACGTATTAGACTGTGAAGAAGATCTGTAGGGTCTTTTTTTATATTGGCGTTTTCTTTGTGTTTGCTCTCTCTAGTCAGACCCTTCCATTATTTTCTCTTTACTTTTCTTGTTTTTTGTGTGTGAAACCTAAGAATAAAGTTGCTTTACTTACGGGGTTCGTTGAATTTTCTTCCGGGAATAATTTATGTTCATATATGGCTTTTAATTTTTATTTTTTGGATTTGGGTTTTCTTGGAGAAATATTTTGAATTCCTAGTTTCGTTGCAAGATTCTGAGCTTGAGATTTGAGGCTGATTCAGTTTGGTGTTGTGGATTCGATAAAACTTGGAAAAGGGTATGTTTTTCTGCTGCTTATATATCTTGTCTAGGGTTTGATTTCTGTTGCTTTTGGTGAAAATTTTGTGAATTTCGATCTGTTTCAAGCTTGTATTGTTCTGAAAGTAAGGTTTGGGGTTGTTTTGAGCTTGAATTTGGAGGTTTGGGTACTTTTATATTCTAATTTTGCTGTTGTTTGACTTATTGGGGTTGAGAGGGAATTTAATATTGGGCAGTCGAAGCAAGTATTAAGTCCTCTTGAAAGATTACTGATGCTGTTTGAGATTCAATTGTGAAGTCGTGGGACTTGTTGTGAAGGTTTTGAATGGTTTAACTTTGTGGGTATGTGAAGCAAATCAATTCTTGGTTTGCTAAAGCTAGTATTTTGAGTTTTTGTTGTGGAGAGATCGGTAATGTTTTAGCTTGAATCTGGAGTTCTGGTGTTCTATTTGAAGCTTTCAATGGTTTGATTATGTGAGTATTTGATAAATTTGTTTAGAGTTGTTGGAGTACAGTTTCTCTAAATGGATAACTCAAAAAATAGGCATAATAATGATCATTTGGGTGTGAATAAGATGGGCAAGAATATACGGAAGAGTCCTTTGCACCAACCTAATTTTGCTGCTAATAACAATGCTAATAGGCAACAACCGCAGCCTCAGGTTTACAACATAAGCAAGAATGATTTTAGGAACATTGTGCAGCAGCTCACTGGTTCACCTTCGCAAGATCCTTTGCCTAGGCCTCCCCAAAATCCACCAAAACCCCAAAGTATGCGGTTGCAGAAGATACGACCACCCCCATTAACACCCATTAACCGACCTCATATACCCCCTATGGTCCCTGCTCCCGCTCCTGCTCCAATGCCTGCTCCACTTCCACCCCCTTTTCCTTACAATAATAACTTAATGAGGCCTCATGCTCCATATGGACAAGCAATGTCACAATATGGACAACTACAACCGATGGCACCTTGGGACAACTCTGCTTGGCCAAATACAGCTGAGTCTCCAATTTCAGCTTATATGCGTGACCTTCAAAATGTTCTTGGAGATCCTGGTCATAGGGGAAACCAAGCTCCACTTCATCCACATGCACAATTTCATCCGCCACCTCAAGTTCAGGGTCAAGCTCACCCTCAGCAGCCGTCATCTGGTTTGCTTCCAAACCCACCGATGCCTGGTCTTCCCTCACCTAGAGTAAATGGTCCAGGTCCAGTCCCATTGATGCCTAATCTCCCTTCCCCACGAATGAATGGACCTCCACTTTTACCATCGCCCACCTCTCAGTTCCTTTTGTCATCTCCTACTGGTTACATGAACTTGTTCTCACCACGTTCACCTTATCCATTGCTTTCTCCAGGGGCTCAGTTTCCTCCACCGCTGACACCCAATTTTGCATTTTCTCCCATGGCGCAGTCTGGGATTTTAGGTCCAGGGCCTCAACCCCCACTTTCTCCAGGCGCCTTTTTTCCATTATCACCTTCAGGTTTTTTCCCTACCTCAAGTCCAAGATGGAGGGATCAATAACCCAGGCATAACATTGTTGTATTCACGAGTTCCAACCTGATGTGGAGCTGGTACCTTCTTTATGCTGACTTATCCTGTTATCATGAGAAATTCATTTGTGAAAATGTAATGTATAATGGTGTAAGAGTTCCTATCAAAAGTTTGTAGTCTTCTTTTCTTATGTCTATTCTCGTAAGTTTTTTGTCCTTTTTTTATTGATACCCATACTGCAGCTTGTTTGAGATTAGATTTTGCTTCAGCTGCAATGCTTTTGTGTTCTTGGGAAGGTTTACATTAGGTGGAATAGTGAAGATCTTACAACTCAACTGGTTACCTTGACAGGAGTTGTAGCATGAAAGACAGCTTTAGCTTGAAAGGAGTTAGGAATACAGTCATCAAATTTTATATGTAGGCAACCTAGTGGATGAATTCTTGTGTACTTTTAATGTTCAAAGCCCTGATCTTTTGTTTATTGTACCATTTTCTGCTCAATGAATTGTTGAATCATTTCAAATTTTTAGGTTTACTTGGAACTGTTGTATGAGCTAGTTGGCTGCTTTGGTTTTGTAATTGCTTATTAGTTATATGTTCAAATTCCAATTCCCTACTTTTTAGTGGAGAAGATTGATTACTTCTTGTGATTTAAAACTTTACTTGTAAACTTGTTTATTATTGATTATTTCTTAAGCTACGACAACTTCAAATTAAGCCTATATGAGGATTGTGTTTGTCGGTGGTGCTTGACCTGAAGAAACACTTATCATGTCCGTTGGTGTACCAAGTCTTGATTTAGTTTTCCCCTGTTCATTTCAGATTTTTTTGTTGTGATTTTATTCTTTTTATTTTTTTTAATTAGTTTCTAATATGAATTAGGATCTAGGTGCTTTTCTGTTTAAACTTCATTTAAAAAGAATGGTTGCTAACCCCAGGATTTATGCGAACTCTAAATTAAAGTATCAAGATTGAATCTGGTCCTCTGGACCCTCCCATAACTGTTGGATGTAAACCTTTGTTGGTTGAGTGCAAGGAAGTATTATTAAAATGCACTTATAAACTGACTTGTATTGTGTGGTGAAAAGGAAAGTAATAGCTATGGAGTAGTTGGTGGGCAACTAATTAATGTAGAAGTGAAATCCTAGATAAAAGTTTGCTTTCTGTGGTCACAAATCAAGTCTAGGTGCCTTAATGATTTGCTTGATGTTCTTGAACTAGAGATTGCTGAAAGAGAAAGCCGCTGTTACAAGCATTGTTTGAGAAGATGAGTTGTAAGGTTTAGGTGAATTCCAAACTTGAGACTCTGCCTTTGTGGGTATTTACAATTGTTTTAGAAAATGGGATTGCCCTTGGAAGAGTGATAATGCAGAATAAAGTCAAAAACGCAAAAATGAGTTGTAAGGCTTAGGTGAATTACAAGCCTGCGACTCTGCCTACAATACAATAAGAATTGTCTTGAAAAATGAGTTTTGCCCTTGGAAAAGTAATAAATTATGAGTTGAATAAAGTCAAAATCCAACTTGGTTTGAGTTGCGTTGGTGTGAAGTCAAGCCGAAACGAACAGAAATTGAAAACCAGAATGCACGGCTAATTTCGAACTCAATTGTGGCCCTTATTAACCTAAAACACACTCACTACACTAAACACTCAGATTGCATTTTCTACTCCTTTTTTATTGTCATCGGGGCTTTCGGGCTTTGGTAATCGAGGGTGTCTAGGTTAGTTTGTACGTATTTTAATTAATCATTTAGGGTCTTGAAGTTGACAGTTGGATAAATCCCCTCAGTGGTGACCCTATTAACAATCTAGCTGGACTAAACTCACGACCTCTGAAATAATATATCAAAGAGTCCTAATTGACTGCTGAACCACCAATTGGTGGTTGATAAATATATAGTAGAACCTCTCTACAGTGATACTCTATATATGAATAACCTTCATGTAGTCGTAAAAAATTATGGTCCCAACTTGGGTAAGTTATAAATAAGAATAAATTTCACATTGTAATAAGTTATAGTTTTTCTAGGTCCGTCTTAAGGAACTTGCCTCTACATAGTAATAATTGTATGTATATTATTAAAAAAATATATATTATGTTACATTAAATATTTAAGATGAAATAAAATATTTATCTAAAGTTGTTTAAGACAATGATTTATGTTTTAAAGTTATTACCATATCTTGCGGGTACGTAATAAGTCTCAACATGGACACCTTCTTATTGAAGCCATAATATTTCTAACTCTTAAGCATGTTTGGAGCTTCTTGGCATGAAACTTTTGGTATTTCCGTACTGTATTCATCCTTAAGATTATCTCCTTCCTCTTTTTGTCTAATTCTAGTAATGATTTCTTCTTCAATTAAAGCATCCACAATTTGTTACTCATTTGGATAATTAAGGAAGTATTAATATCTATTTTATTAGTTTAGTAAAGTTGTCGAATCTAATCACTCAATTTTGTAATGACTCTTTGATATCCATTTCCATACTATTATAATACCACTAAAAAAATGAATTGAAATCTTAATACTACTAAAACATGAATTATAAAATAAGAAATCAAAACAATAATTTTTTAATCAACACAATAATTATTGTAACCACACATTTATTAAGTTATAACCTCTTCATAGTAATAAATTTAGTTGGTCCCAACATTATGATTATAGAGAGGTTTTACTGTATTTATTGTTATTCATATTTTGAAATACTGTATGATAATTTAAAATTTAAAACTATATAATAATTGTTTTATTTATGAGTAATGCTACAGTTACCGATGGGTGTGCACCGAATTTGTGCACCGAATGACGTGATAAAATCCTGACTGTTGATTTATTATCAGTTAATATTAATCAACGGTCAGGATTTTGTCACGTCATTCGGTGCACAAATTCGGTGTAAACTTTTCGGTAACTCTATCATTTTCCTTTATTTATATTTATATATAGTTAACCTTTCTACAGTGATACTCTATATAGGAATAAACTCTACATAGTCATAAAAAATTCTATTCCCATTTTGGGTTAGTTATAAATATGAATAAACTCCACATTGTAATAAGTTATAATTTTTCTAATTTCCATCTTAAGGAAAGTTGCCTCCACATAGTAATAACTATTTGTATATTGTAAAAAAATATATGCTATGTTACATTAAATGTTTAAGATAAAATAAAATATTTATCTAAAGTTGTTTAGGACAATGATTTATGCTTTAGAGTTGATACCTCATATTTTAACTTACGGATACATTACTCGCTAGTATGGACATCTTCTTATTGAAACCAAAATATTTCTAGCGTCTCAAGTATGTTTAAAGCTTCTTGGCGCGAAATTTTTTGTATCTCCATACTATCATACTCATGATTATTTCCTTTCTATTCTTGTCTAATTGTAGCAATGATTTCTTCTTCAAATAAAACATATATGACTTGTTGTTCATTTGGATGATTGAGAAATATATTAATATCTATTTGATTAGTGTAGTGAAGTTGTCGAATATAATCACTCAATTCTACTAGGACTCTTTGATTCTCCTCCTCCTCCACTTAATTTGTAACTTGCAATTCATCAACATCGGGAGTCCTAATCTTGCAATGTTTAAAACAATTGACAATTGTCTGTGGCTTCACATCAATTGACCATGCAACAACTGCATTTATAATTTCATCAATGACACTTTTATTTGCTAGTTCCAAGAGATGATCTTCTATCCGTTTCAAAAATAGGAAATTGAAGCACTGAATTTGAAATCCTAATACTATTAAAACATGAATTTAAATCCTAATATTGTACTATTAAAACATAAATTATAAAATAATTTTTTTTTGTAACTACACCTCTATTAAGTAATAACCTCCTTATAGTAATAAAATTAGTTAGTCCCACCATTATAACTGTTATGCCTGAAAAGTTAGGGCTAACGTGGACTCTCGTTAGCAAGAGCCAATCAAGGTTCAGAAAGGTTTTGTGCTGTCCAGGCGCGGCCACGTCGCGCAGTGACGAAAGAGGTATGGTTCTTGTTAGTGTAGCAGATGAGTGCTAGGCTTGCGAGTGGTTAGAGATTATCCACCTGCCCAAGCCTTACGCAATTTAAGGATATTTCTCGTGCAGATAACCAATGGAATGCAAAGAAGGATTTGCACGACACTTACCCACTTGCAGACTCGTAATCATTACCTTGAACTCTCCCACTATAAATAAATGACACCTCTCTCATTTACGGGATTGGCTGATCTTAAAACAGTTTATACACACACACACACACACACACACACACACTCTCTCTCTCTCTCTCTCTCTCTCTGTATTCCTACTAAATTGTAACTCAGCTCGCCGCATGCGACCTGATTTTACCCATCTATTAATACAATAGCAGTAGACGTAGGATTCGCTTTTGAGCAGCTGAACCACTTTAAATATCGCTTCCCATTCATTGTCTCATTTCATTTCTCCTTATCACGTGTGATTTCTAAGTCCGTATAGCACTTTGCACGTGTGAGTCATTGGTGTCAAAATCAAGCATCAACAGTTTGGCACTAGAAGGAGGGCCTAATTTAGTATATTAGAAATCTCTGACTAATCGGTCCTACCAATCAACAAATGGCTCGCGGTTTCAAACCTGAGCGAACCGACTATGACAATAAGGAAATCCCCTAGGTATAAGAGGACACTTCTCCCGAAGTGTCGCCAGTCCAACAGAGTATCATGACGGATATTCCTTCAAGCTTGCGGCTTGATCCAACTGTCATGAGTTACCTGGAGGGGTTTAATAATACTCTCCAAATGGTTAGCCAAAGGCTAGACCGTTTGGATCGGGTCGTGCCATAAGAATCCAATGAGGCGGTGCCACCGCAAAAAATGCTTGCAGGTTGCGCACAGGCAATCGAAGACCTCATCAAATAGGGGCACTTCAAAGAATATGTTGATGGCCCGACTCCCGTTTGGGAGAAAGATAAAGAGGAACCAGGGAAGAAGCGTCGTGGTCGCAAGAGACTCTATTGTGTAGGGATCATCTTTGGAGGACCACACCTTGCAAGGAATTCTCTAGGTACCCAGGAGAGGTATGCTTGGGAAGCCTGTCATGACCTCGTGAGTGTAATGACCACGGCGCCGCGACCCGCTAAGGTTCACAGGGAGGAAGAGATCACCTTCATCCCCATAAGGATGCTCTCGTCATCGCGCCTGAATTAGGCCGATGCGAAGTCCACAAAATGTTGGTGGACAATGGAAGCGCCGTGAATATCCTGTTTCAGTGAGCTTTCAAAAAAATGCAACTGGACGAGACAGACCTAAAACCTGCCTCCATCATTCTTTATGGTTTTATCGGGGATCATCTGATTCCTAGGGGAACAATCTCGCTCCCAATCACGTTGGGAGAAACCGACGAAGTGACCAAAATAACGAAATTTTTGGTAGTAGACTGTCCGTCCACCTTCAATAGAATTTTGGGATGACCTTTATTGAAAAATTTCAAGGCAGTCACCTCCATCTACCATCTGAAAATGAAGTTCCCCACCCCAACGGGGATAGAGGAAGTAAACAGATCTCAATGCGAATCTTGCAGCTTCTATATAAGAGTAGTGCAGATAACATACAAGGGAAGAGGAATGCCAGTTGGTATCCCCAAAAGGCAATGATGATCAGTAGAATTGAGCCACAACCCGGCCCCATAGAGGATAACATGGATCCTCGCATCCAGGAGTGCCCTTACAGTGGGCCAGTCAAGGATTTATCTAAGCTATCAGTTGATCAAAATGAGCCAACCCGAGTATTTAGAATCGGAAGTAATCTCAACCCTCAACTTGCCAAAGACCTGACAAGTTTCCTTAGAGAGAATGTCAACGTGTTCGTATGGACTCATGCTGACATGATCGGGATCAGCCTGAATGTCATATGCCATGCGCTGAATATTGACAGTGCGATTAAGCTTGTTCACCAAAAGAGAAGAGCAATGGACCCTGAACGCTATGCTACCCTGAAAATCGAGGTAGATAAGCTCCTTTTGAACGGGTCCATTCGAGAGGTGCTTTACCCAAGCTGGGTTGCAAATTCGGTCTTGGTAAGGAAGCCTAGTGGCAAGTGGCGAACCTGTGTTGACTTCACCAACCTCAGCAAAGTATGTCCGAAGGACAGTTTTCCCTTGCCAAGATCGACTAGCTGGTCGATGCCACCTCGGGACATAAGCCATTGAGTTTTATGGATGCCAACTTGGGATATAATCAGATTCTGATGTACGCATCGAACAAAAAGCATACCTCATTTGTTATAGATCGGGGGCTATATTGTTACAAGGTCATACCCTTCGACTTAAAAAATGTTAAGGCGGTTTACCAGTGGCTAGTCAACCGTATGTTTTCCAAGCAGATCGAAAAATCGATGGAAGTCTATGTTGATGATATGCTGGTCAAGTCGCATGTCGCTTCAAATCACATATCACATCTTGCTGAGATATTCAGCGTACTCCGAAGGTATAGAATGAAGCTCAATACTCTCAAGTGCTCATTTGGAGTATCCTCGACAAAGTTCCTGGGGTATATGGTTAATCAGAGGGGGATAATAATCAAACCCGAGAAGATCCAAGCTCTCCTTGATATGAAAAGTCTGACCAACCGAAAACAGGTTCAGAGTCTAAATTGGAGAATAACAGCTCTCAATCGCTTCATATCAAGGGCAACAGATCACTGCTTGCTATTTTTTAATATACTCAGGGCCAACAAAAAGTTTGAATGGGCTTTGGAGTGTGAGTAGGCTTTTCAGAGCATAAAAGAGCACCTTAGAAAGCCACCTCTCTTGTCCAAGCCTCTCCCCGAGGAAATTCTACTCCTGTGCCTGTTCGTCTCTAAGCATGCGGTCAACACAGCTCTTATTCGGGAGGAAAGCAGAGTCTAATGACTAGTATATTACGGGAGCAAGCGATTGCTGGAAGCCGAGATGTGGTATCCAGAAATGGAGCGATTAGCTTATGTCTTGCTGATTGTCTCTAAAAAGCTGCGACCCTACTTCCATGCCCACATAATCTATGTCTTGACCAACCATCCGCTCAGGCAAGTCCTTTAGAAGCCAGAGGCTTCGGGTAAGTTACTTAAATGGGCAATAAAACTGAGTCAGTTCGATCTGTATTATAGACCGAAAGTAACCATCAAAGGGAGGTTGTTACCGATTTCATTTCGGAGTTCTCGTACCAACCGAATTAGGAATTTGGGTAGTGAGCCAGCGAAGTCACCTAGGAAACCATTTGAAACTTATCGACATGGAGCCTTTATGTCGATGGTTCCTCAAACAGGAAAAAAGCCGGGGCAGGCATTCTCCTCCTCAGTCCCGAAGGGACTCGCATCCATGAAATTCTTCAATTTGGGTTCCAAGCTACGAACAACGAGGCCAAATACGAAGCGCTACTCGCTAGCGTGTGATTGGCAAAAGAAATGGGGTCAAGTGCGATCAGTATTCATAATGACTCCCAGCTGGTTGTCAATTAGATCTCGAGAGAATATCAAACCAATGAAGAAAACATGATCAGTTATCTGAAGAAAGCTAAGGCCGCACTCGAGTCTTTCAAACACTTCACGATCAAATGAATTCCTAGAGACAATAACTTTGTCGCAGATGCTTTGGCAAGAATAGCCTCGTCGTTAGACTCAGATGCATCGAAAAGTATTCTTGTTCGATGCATAGAGATTCCTAGTATCAACTCGCCTGAGTAGGCCGTGGCTACGATAGAGTCAATTTCTTAGATGACTCTAATTATTCAGTATCTTCGAGATGAGACTTTGCCCAATGACAAGACTGAGACAAAAATCCTGCGCACCAGAGCTACTCGTTACACACTCATAGGAGATCAGTTGTATAAGCGAGGGTTTAATGCCCCTCTCCTTCGATGTGTAACCGATGAAGAAGCAGACTATGTCATGAGGGAGATACATAAAGGGATCTGCGGTAATCATATTGCCTCGCGATCCCTCGCCAACAAAATTGTCTACCAAGGATACTACTGGCTCCTACTTTAGGAAGACACTTTTAACTTTGTAAAAAAGTGTGACAAGTGCCAATAGTTCACGAACATACTGCGAGCTCATTCCTACCAGCTGACAACCATGACCAGCCCTTGGCCATTCTCTATGTGGGGAGTTGATCTTATTGGGCCCATGCCAGTCGAAAAGGGAGGGGTCAAGTATGTTGTGGTTGCGATAGATTACTTCACCAAATGCGCCGAGGCTGAACCATTGGCCGCTATCACTACCAAGAAACTCAAAAACTTCATCTTTAAAAAAATAGTGCGCCGCTACAAAATTCCTCATACACTCATCTCTGATAATGGGAAGTAGTTCAACAATTTGGAATTCAAGCAGTTTTGCAATGAGTTGGGGATCCATAAAAAGTTTACCTTAGTCGTAAGACTGCAAGCCAATGGTCAGGTTGAAGGTGCCAACAAGACCATTAAGCACACTCTGAAGGCTGAGCTTGGCGTTGCCAAGGGTAATTGGGTCAACGACCTCCCAGAAGTTCTATGGGCATATAGAACAACTCCGAGAACCTCTACTTCAGAAATGCCATTCTCTCTAGCATATGGTTGCGAGGCTATGATCCCAGTGGAAGTAGAAACTCGTTTTCTTCGAAGAGACCTATTCAATGAAACAGACAATGAAACACTTTTGCGTGCAAGTCTGGACTTAGTTAAAGAGTACCGTGACAAGACTCGATTAAGGATAACATCCTACTAGCAGTGTCCAAAGAGGTTCTTTGACTCTAAGGTTAGGAGAAGAGACTTTCAAGTTGACGACCTAGTTTTGAAAGAAGTCCTTCTCGGTACAAGGGAACCGAGCGCGGGGGTACTAGGACTTAACTGGGAAGGCCCATATAGCATCGCCAAGGTAACACGACTAAGAACGTATCACCTCAAAAGACTTAACGATTATGAAGTACAGCGAGCTTGGAATGCTGAGCATCTCCGCCCTTATTACCAGTAATTCCGATAATTTTGAACTCGCCCATAATTTTTCATTTCCTCGTAAACTTTGTAAATAAGATCGCTGTTAAGCAAATTTTTCTTGTATGATCTTGTTCGTTGCAATGTTTTTACAAGTTTCCTATTCGCATATGTAACATTAGTCTTGTGAAGTACCCAAAATTATAAGTGCTATCACAAATAGCTAAAAAATATTTCTTTTTATATATATATGTAATGGAGACAAGTACAAAGAGAGTTAAGAAATGCAAAAATAAAGTTAAAAACAAGGCCGTGCAGAAGCAGGAAGAAGTGATCACTGGTGTCCACCTCCAGGCCGTGTGGGTACGACCTTGGTATCCCTCGTTTGGTCACCAACCACCCAGTCAGCTGTTGGGTCCTCTAGGACATATTCCTCTGGTTGATCGTCCTCTAGAAGAGGCTCTTGTCCCTCTTCCTCCTCGACGTCATCATCAGTGTCTGCCATGGAAGCAAGAATGTTCTGATATTCGATCAGGAGGTCAAAGAGGTCCATCCTTGGGTTCCTTGGTCACAAACTATAGATAGCCTGAATCGCCCAGTCAGCAGCCTTTCTCTCAATTTCAAAGCTTTGCCGCTTCATTTGATTAGTTAATGAAGTGACTCACCCTTGGGAAAACTCGAGGTCCGTCTCCAATGCTCTTTTCAGCTTCTCAGTATTTTCCCACAGCACGGCTCTTTCTTCCTCTACCTTCATGGCCCGTTCATAGTTTGCTTTCAGCTCCTGCTCTTTCTTGCCACACTTTTTGGTGAGTCTAGCCACTGTCCTCTAGAGCTTCTTGATCTCTTCGCCTCTCTTCTCGAACTAAGCTTCTGGAACTCTACTGTGCGAAGGGCAGAGTTCCTTTCTAACAGGTATTGATTCACCTGGATGTGGTATGCTTTTGCCTTTGTGTCCAGAGCCGCTAGGTCCTGTTTTAGCTTCACATTTTCTTCCTTCAGCTCGTGGAGACCCCCAACAGAGTCCAGGCCAATCTTCTGTTGGGCCATATGCAGGGCGAACAGAGACTGCGTGAGAAAAGAAACAAGGGCTAAACCCCATTTTTCTGAAAAAATATAAAAGGTATGAAAACCAACCGATATTGGGAAATCTCGATGAGGACGAGCTGCCTTACTTGGCGTTACAGCTAGAGCGCTGTAGCCATCAGGTCTACAGGCTGAGAGGCCACGAACTCCTCAAAAGCCACAACAAGTTGGCACTCTAATAAGGTATACACCATAGGCTGCAGGTGTTCCGGAAGTTGTCCCATGAAGTCCAACACAGGTGTGTCTACCCCTGAAGCAAAGATTGAAGGTAAAGAAAAAATTCGCAAAGTAAAAGAAGGGAAAACGTACTCGGTTCCCTAAACTAGCAGATGCCATCGTATTGAAAAAAGAAAAATTTCGTTTCATAGGCCCCGACATTATTAGGGTAACCAAATATTTCTCATTCGATTGTAGATCGCTTTGAGAGGTAAAAAAAGACTTTATCCTTGCTCTTCTTTAGGTAATAAGAGCATGCAATCTCCAGCGCAGTCCGCTAGCCGAGGCTATTCTCACCACATGCAATATACATAACAACAACTATCATATACGCATTGAGCGTCAGTTGCAGCGGTGCAACCTAGAAGTGATCGAGGATCGACCTAATGAAAGAGTGAAAAGGTATCAATGCCCATCATTTGAAGATCGCCTTCGAGATCGTAACCATTCCCTCTATGGGATTCCGAGCTGTATATGTTCTGTGCTGGTAGACGTCCACGCTAAGTGCGTATTGGTCCACTGCCTTCTATATCTCATCTCGGGTGGCCACTGACAAAATCTCTTGCACGAGACTCGTTGGGGCGTTCTGCGCCTGCAAGCTCGTACCCTTGATTGTCCTGGTCGCTGAGGCATCCATTGCTCCTGAGGTCTGAAAAAGGGGTGACACGCAAAGATAACTCAGTCTTCGTACAATATTCCGTACAACGACATGGAAGAACAAAAGAAACCCTAATATACCTTCCTTAAACCCTGGAAAAACCCTAAAAATCCTTGGGGACAACCCCCAAGGATTCGTGCCCTAAATTCTTACTCTTTATGAAAGAAAAAGCCTTCTCCTCACAACTGCCCATAAATATGCGCCACGAAGGTTTACCAAACAGTTCATACCACACCATTATCATCAAGACAAGTTATCAACAAAATAGTAAAAGAAAAGCAAAGGAGAAATCCTCCTTACCTCTTGGCTGCGGGAACAGACTTTCTATCGTAAACAAAGGCTGCACGTCAACTGGAAAAAAGGGAGATTGATTTCGTGAGAGCTTTGTTCTTTCTCTGAAGGTATGAGTTTTGTGACAAAGCTTGAGATGAGCCTGGGTTTTTATAGGGGGAGGAAGCGATGATTGATTTCCCTAGGTAAGTGACACTTGGGCGAAATGCGTTTCTCTCCATTGATTGTAACCACGTGTCATCAATTCGCGAGAAGAAGTAACCGCCACGCTTCGAGAATGCCAATCGATGCTTCCCTCCATTGGAACAACCAAGCGACGACTCGATTATCTTCTCCACATTAAATGCGCCTTCATCCGCATTTAATGCTCTGAAAGAGAATGTCGTTTCAGCATGACTTGCATTTAATGTGCATGGCTGGCACTTATTGCACACTAGACACGTCTGTCAGAATAAAGATTATTTTATTAAACAGATTAGCTGTCAAGCACAACAGATAACATCTGAAGAGGTTGTTTGGTCAGAACACTCTTCGCCGCGTATCGATTTCGAGACAATGCGATTCCTTATCCTTGGTAAAAATATGCTAAGTATTCCCAGGTCGCGGATCGCAAATGAGATTTGAAACACATCAGTACGGCACTGAGTGAGGCCTGATCTAGGTCGTTGAACTTGTGGAAGAATGCCATTTCAGGTTGCTTGTGCTACCCTCAGAGACATGTGCTGCGACCTCATTGCAGCTTAATCAGCTCGACCAACGTCATTCGGGACAAGTCAAGTCGCGACATAATAATGAAGTTCTCAAGGTTCAATCCTTAAACATTAAAAACTGGGGGACTTCTGTTATGCATGAAAAGTTAGGGCTAACGTGGACTCTCGTCAGCAAGAGCCAATCAGGATTCAGAAAGGTTTTGTGCCGTCTAAGCGCTGCCATATCGCACAGTGACGAAAGAGGTATGGTTCTTGTCAATGCAGTAGGTCAGTGCCAGACTTGCGAGTGGTTAGGGATTATCCACCCGCTCAAGCTCTATGCAATTTGAGGATATTTCTCATGTAGATAACCAATGTGATGCAAAGAATGATTTGCACGGCACTTACCCACTTGCAGACTCGTAATCATTACCTTGAACTCTCCCACTATAAATAGAGGACACCCCTCTCATTTACGGAATTGACTGATCTTAATCTAAAACAGTTTATACTCTTTCTCTTTCTCTCTCTCTCTCTCTCTCTCTCTCTCTCTCTCTCTGTATTCCTTCTAGATTGTAACTTATCTCGTCGCACGTGACCTGATTTTACCCATCTATTAATACAATTAGTGGCGGAGCCAGGATTTTTGCCCGGGGGGGCCTCCACGACTCTGCCATTGTTTGCCAAACAACTAGTGAAAGCTTTAAAAAAACCACTAAACCTTAAACAAAAGAGTTTACAACAACCACAATCCATCAAAAATATTCCACACAAATTTAGAGGTCAATCACAATTCTAACACAAGTAAAATACATAAAAGTTTACAAAGAGAGAGATTAAAGTCACCAGAGAAGCAGTCAAACTTCATGTTGTATAACTCCAAATCCAGATGTTAATATCAAAACTCAACCGTCTAGATTAAAGATCCACACATCCTCTGCGTATTGACCAAAAAATCAAGTTAGAATGGTATACCTGAAGATTTGAATATATGAATATTGATTGTTTAAATATGAAAGCAAGTTAGAATGGTATACCTGAAGATCTTCAATTTAACACGATTTTTCGCTTCGATATATTTTGAAAGTGTTCAATGATATCTTTATTTTCAATTGTAGCAAAAACTTCCTTTTCAATGTAAACCACCAAGCAATTGTTCATCCAGTCGTCTCCCATTCAATTACGCAAACTATTTTTCACAAGATTCATTACAGAGAACACCCTTTCAATTGTTGCAGTAGCCACAGGCAAAACCAGTGCTAATTTAATAAGCAAGAAAACTTTGTTGTAAGCAACATCCTTCTTAAACTCAACCATTTTTTTAGCAAGATCGGCAATCCCTTCGACATGAGTGAAATTGGCATTGGTGCTAACATCCTCATAATAGTTTTCAAGTTGATCATCGAGCAACCAAATATTGTGTTGAGGAAAATCGGTAGGATAGAACTTTGCAAATTCAAGTAATCTCTCTTTGTTAAATGCAACAAAAGAGTTACTTGGATCAAGAGATGCCATACATTGAAGCAACCTCATATTTATTTCATCAAAACGATTATTGAGTTCTTCTTGAATGTTATCCAAAACTGTATACATCAATTTCACCTTAAAATGATGTTTATTCGTAATTGGCGTAATCCTCTGTTTTGTGCTCCCAAAGTTATCTTCCATATTCTCCAAGATTTGTATGTCATTATCTTTGCACATATCAGAAGCTTCTTTTAACAATATGTCGAAGCAAGTGTCTTCATTTCTCATTTTATGCAATCGACGCTTCGAAATTCGTAAAAATTGTATGGCATTAAGAAGATCCTGATCTTTTCTTTGTAATACTTGTGACAATTCATTTGTGATTCCCAATACTCTTTTCATTAAGAATAATAAAAAGACGAATTCAAAATTCTCCATGATTCGTAATAAACTCCTTGCTTGACTTTTGTTTTGCCAATCGTCTCCTTCAATCTCAATCACCATAAGCACATCAACAACAGAAGAAAATAAATTTATGACACTATGAATTGTCCCTATGTGTGAACCCCAACGTGTATCTCCTGGTCGTTTAATAGTGTATTCTTGATTCAAACCTCGTCCCATATGAAGATCACCATTAGAAATCAAAGATATCACATTTTCATATTGTTTATCACGTAGAAGATCTCTGTGCTTACAAGATGCTGCTATAGTGTTTGATAACTTATAAAGAGATTGAAAAAATTCACCCAATGCCGAATGGTTACTTATAACTTTGACTAGTGCTAGTTGGAGTTGATGAGAGAAACAATGAATATAGAAAGCTGATTTATTTTCTCTCAATATCAAAGTCTTCAAACCATTGAACTCACCTCTCATATTGCTTGCTCCATTGTAACCTTGCCCCCGTAAACTTGTCAAACTCAATCCATGCTTTACAAAAAAGGCATATATTGCAATTTTCAAATACTTTGCAGAAGTATTCTTAACATGCACAACCCCGATAAAACGTTCAATAACACAACCAATTTTGTCCACATAGCGAAAAACAATAGCCATTTGTTCTTTCACTGTCGCATCACAAGATTCATCAACTGGTAAAGAGAACGGTTGTTTATCTCTCACAATTTTTGCAGTAATTTTCTTGGTCGTCAAATGAGCACAAACACTAATTAATTCCCTTTGGATGTTGGGGGCCGTCATTTGATGGTTTTTCGAAGCATTTTCCAGCACAATTTTTTTTATGTTGTCATTATGGTTGGATAGAAACTTCAATAATTCCATAAAGTTACCTTGATTTCAGATTCAACCGACTCGTCATGACTACGAAATGCCAATCCTTGATGTAAAAGAAATCTAATGCAATCAATTGATGCATTCAAGTGAATGCGATAGTCCAATTTGGCCTTTTTTGACACACAACAAGATTTACATCGATGAGTTGCCTTTGGTTTATCAAATCAACACACTTGGCATGATATTGGTTATGAGTACTAAAATGATCTCCAACATGTTTTTTCACTTTCGCTTTATCTTTCCAATTATTAAATCTCTTACTCACAAAAACTTCACCACCTGCTTGGTCACCATAATCAGTTTTGAAAAGACAATAATTTAAACAAAATATGCAATCTTTTGCCACACTATATTCCATCCAACATGGACATTCTTTGTACCACTCTGGTGTAAACCTACGCTTTTTAATTATCTCCGAAAAGAGTGAAAGGAAAGTTATGATCTTTAAGTTGGCAAAGACTTTCAACAAGTATGCTCTTCGAACTTCCTCCTCTTGCTTGTCAGTACAACAAATCTCGTTAATTGGTATCCTCAATCCTAGATCAGTTTCAAGCTCATCTAAATTGAACATCCCGACCAAAGGTTGAGCTTCTTTTACTTGGTGCTGTTGTTGCTGATGTGGGGTTTCTTCTTCCAATGGGATTTGATTAACCTCAATATCAATAGAGTTTCCATCAACAATTTCTGTTGGAATTTTCTTTAATCTCTTGAAATAATTGGATATCATAGCTATCAAATAAAAAAAAGATAATATGATACATGTAAAGAAAGACCGATGAAACTTTAATTAATAAAATTACAAGGACTAACTTATCAAGTTTTTAGATATAACAATTAGATCTAATTAAAAGATTATTTTAGCAATTAATTAATCATTTTATTGTGTTAATTTTCTTATATTTAAAATCATTTTAGTGAAATTTAAAAACTTATATAATTTGCTAATCAATTTTTTGACTTATTTAAATTATTAGCATAGATAAACTAGATTTAATTTAATTACTATTAGAGCATACTTAGTCAACTAATCACATTATAAAATAATAAAAATATCATTATTAATATATTAATGATTGGTGTAAATCAAGTTGTCCTCTAATTATATAAAAAATTAATTTTATAAATGTATTTGTGATATCTAAAGTCACAAATTAATAATAATGTTTTCAACCAATCACAAAATCAAACAAACACAAAACAAACTCACAAGATTCATAATTTTTTTCATCAGAATAAAAAACCTCCATAAAAACAAATATAATTTAACCCAAAAATAAACTAAACTAAAATAAGTAATATACATACCTAAAACTGATAAAGCAAAAAATAGTCTTTAAAAGTTGTAACTTCAACCGAGCCAGTAAGACAAAGAGAAAGAGAGGCGCACTCACTAAATAAAATTAGGAATACAAAAGTTGTAGTCCTATGGAGATTGGCCGTATACGTCATATGTATAATATATTTATAATAATAAAACTAGTGGGCTAGCATAGCCGCAATATTTATGATGGGTGAGCCTGACATTGCTGCATTAACATATTATAGCAATTAATTTGATTATGACCATATATATTTGTGCCTTTTTTATATAAAAACAATTATAAATATTTGCAATGTTTTTTCAAAATCTGAGGCCTATCCTCAAGAATGCTGTATCTGCCCCTGAATACAATAACAGTGGACGTATGATTCACTTTTGAGCATCCGAACCACTTTAAATATCGCTTCCTATTTATTTTCTCATTTTATTTTTCCTTATCACACGTGATTTCTAAGTCTGCATAACACTTTACACGTGTGATTCATTGGTGTTAAAATCAAGTATCAATAATGACTATAGAGAGGGTTTACTGCGTGTGTGTGTGTGTATATATATATATATATATAAAGTTAGTGGAGGTACGTATAGCCGGAGATAGCAGCCTCTCCTCTCCTTCTACCAGCCTAATATTTCTTTGCCATCCCCAGTATCGCCGCTAGAAAATCGCCTTCCATCAACACACAGAACATGCTGCAAAATTCTGACATTGCGTCGCCAACAGAAGGTTATTATGTTAAAATTCCCGCCGTAATAATTCTAATTCGATGCAGAAATACGACATCGGAAGAGGACGCAACTGGCGTAGTAACAGTTATGCAGCGACATCGATTGGAGCCGCTCCTGGATACGATGCCGAGATGCATTGGATTCTCATTTTAATGTAAAAAGATGGACAGCCGAAGAATATATTAATTATGGGCAAAGATATTGTAATTGAATTTTTGTGCAGAAATTAAGGCCCTAATTAATCTTCCATTATAATAAAGAGAGAAGAAACTAGAAAGAGTATATATTGATATTCCCGCTAATGAGAAGTGTTATAAATATATAATTAAATAATAAATTAAAGAAAAAAGGGTTCATTAATAGACAAAGATTCTTTCGATAAAATAATGAATACAAAGTTGGTGTTTAATAAAAAAATGGTCAAGTTGGCAAGTTGCAGAGTGAGTGAATTGGCCTTTCATCTTTGAAGGAAAATGATTAAGTCACAAGAAAAAGATGCCAAATTTATAAACCGATAGACGTGGCATTATTATTATCATTGATTAATTATGAATTTTGTTTTAAAAAAACAGATAATGCCATATCTGTTTGATATAAATTCAGTATACTTATTCGATGACGATAGAATTACTCCGTCTTCATAAAGAGGCTAGTCGCTTTCCATAAACTTTATATAATTGTGAAGAAGATAGTGCTCTTCACGTGGTCTTGACTTGACAATCTAAAGTTTTCCACCAAATTTAAAGTTTTTTTTCTTTTAACATCAAGTCATGTTCCATATAAATCGATTCACATTCGTTCTTCTTCCACATAATTTTAAATATTGAATATTCTTGAATATTTTTATTTTTTTAAGTTTTTGACAACTCGATCTTTTCCTGGAAAATTCAACTATTCGCGCCCACTTGTTTATCCAATCCCATTCTTGGATAAAGATGTTCCAACTAGATTATCATAGTTTTTACACCTTTCATTCATAATTAATTTCAAATTGTTGCTTTCAACACCTTCAACCGAAATACATATGATATGACTGAAGTTATTTATGGCGACAAGGATGCTTCTGCTAGTTTGCAAATTAATGCCGTGAATCGAATATTTACTCATTTTGTTGGAGTCTCACATAGACTAGGCACGTTCAAGCTTACTAGTTTATAAGATGAGATAATCCTCTCATTCAACAAGACCTTATTGGATAAGGAGTTAGACCCACCTTAAATTCTATCATGATATCAAAGCCCAAGTTCAGTTGAGTTAAATGTTTGACCAGCGGATGATGAGTTAGAGTCGATAACTACCTCTAATAATATGTATGACCCAACATATGAGTTTGATCGAGAAGGGGAGTATTGGAGTCCTACACCGACTAAGGACGCTCAAATCTACTAATTTATAAGAAGGGATAATCCTTCTATTCAACAACTCTTTATTGGGTAAAGAGTTAGACACACTTTAAATTCGATCACATTTACTTTTCTGTATAGTCAAACCTACTAGTTTATAAGAGAAAGTAATCCTCCTATTCAACAAGGTCTTATTAGGTAAGGAGTTATACCACTTTAAATTCTATCACATTTATTTATATATGATTACGAGGGAAACAAGAAAATTAATATATACTTCATTCAAATTCTATTTAAAGATGAAGTTGATATGCCATTTAAAATAAGATAGTTGTAGTGTAGAAAATTATTGTAATGTGGAATGATTCTTCAAAGCTGAAATATCAAGAATAACACATTTATATATAGTCAAATTATGCTACTATTTTCTGAATGAGAAATATTAGATGTATAAAATTTCCTATAAAGAGTTTTGATATCAAGTGATGTGTCAGTTGTCCCACCACTAGTTTATAAAAGGAAAAAGAAGATTAATTAGAAACTAGTGGATGTGGCTGCCACGTCCCTTTGTACACACATGAATTATATAAACAGATAACATCAGCTTTGGTGTTCTCGATCTTTGGTTTTAAAATAATGTAGAGAAAGATGTGGCTAAATCTCATCCTTACATTAATATTCATATTTATATATACAGATTGAATAATGTAGAGAAAGACGTGGCTAACATATCCTTACCGATACGATCCAATCTCATCTCTCAATTTGAAAGCTCAACGACCTCACATGGAGACGTTGATATTATACACATTCATCATCATCAAAACCCTAATCCAACTCTGCAACATATTCAGAGAGAGCTCCCGCATGAACTCTGATGCTCTATAACTGGGCCACACAACTCACCAATCAAAATCATGGGTTTGACCTTAATAATCATGCATGATTATGATCTGACGTTGCCGATGATTTATGATGTGTACAGTTCTTGGATTTTTCATAATGTTTTATTAATTTTGTGATAATGTGAAAGACAGTTTGGGAAATATAACTAGATTATAACGATATTTTTTAACCTTAAACTGAAAAGTGGAATTTGGTCTCGGCCGGGAAGAACTAACTAGAAATGGGGTCAGGGGTGGGGCTGTTTATTTGTAGTCTTTTTGCTCCTCCCTAGAAATTCCACTCTTTACTTTTTTAGCCTAAATATTGTCATCTCTCTCTTTTTGTAGATTCTTCCCTCCGCAAATTCCACTCCAGCCCCACCTCACACTGTCTATTTTTCTCTAGGGGACCAATGCCAATAGATAGAGAAAAAATGGAAAAATCTATATATGAAATGAAAGTGGCACTTCATACTATAGTATCCACAAAGCAATTGGTGTTAATGAAATGCCTTTTACTATGAATTGGCAAAGAGATTTAGTATATAAAAGGGATCAAGTTGAACTAGATTGTCATTGGAATTGGAGAAAGAAATAAAAGCGCCATTTAGTGCAATCGAATTCTTAGATTTAAGCACAAAAGTCAAAAGCATAGATTCCGCTGAAAAAATATTGGATGGAGCTGAGTCAGCTGACTCGTAATATACTTCTTTGTTTAGTTTACAGTAGAAACTAAGGAAATTTGATTGTCATTAAAATATATCAAATTATATTCTTGCCTTTTTAACTTTACACTAACAAACAATTAATAATAATAAATCACTTAATTAGCTATTTAATTGCCAATTAAGATAATTAAGCGTGAATTAAACATTTCTGTACACATGCATTGGCCATTGACTCAAATGCCATTTCATTGTAATCGTAATTCCAACATTATACATGTGAAATCACGTGGCAGATCAGTCAAAACTATTGACAAGAAGGATATTTCCGGTGATTCACAACAGCTTTAAAAAAATTAAATTAAAAAAAAAAAGAAGAAAAAGAAATAATCACAGAACAGAAAAGAAAATGAAAAAAAAGCAGCAGCATTTTTTGGATTTTGAAATTTTTTTTGCTTTCTTCTTTTTCTTTTGCTTTCATGTCACCTGACCATCCCGTGCCAACCCTTCAGCGACAGATGCCAGCTTCTGCAAGTTTAACTTCACCACCGTATCTGCAAAGAGACGCGTGTCGTCCTCGGTGTTCCCTTCAGGCACATCAACGACGTAAGATTCTAAAACAACGGTCCAGATCCTGCCGTCCCGCTTGAAACCATGCACCGTTGTCACGGACCTGTAATTCCTCAACCTATGTTCACCTCCGATAATACTAAACCCCGCCACCCGTCTCTGGTCGTCCAGAATGTCAAGCCTCTCCGTGCTGGTCGCCGCCGGTAGCCCCGAAATGACGTTAACGTCCCTGGTGGACCCCACAACCATTTGGAAGTTGTCTGCCACGGAACAGCTTTTGATGAAGTGTTTGTATGCCTGGGGCTTGTCGAAACGCCTCACTATCGACCATACGACGTCGTCCGGGGCGTTTATGAGCTGCGCTAGCAGAGAGGAGCATTGGTTTTGGCTTAGTTGGTACGTGTGGAACTCCACGACGTGTTCTTTTAGCTCATCAAACTCGTCCTGGGTTAACCCGGGCGGAGTCGTTAAGTGATGAACGGTGTACGTTGGTTGTGTTTCTGGGTTAGGGTTAGGGTTTGCCATTGAAGAAGAGATTTCGGTCTCAGTCTCAGGTTTGATGTCCATTGACGAGAGAGAGAAAGAGATAGAGAGAGAGAGAGAGAAGGCGGTTCATTGTTGGGGATATAAGAAATGTGAGGGGTAAAAGAGGGAAATGAGAGGTGATTTATTTTATTTTATTTATTTAATGGAATAATTTATAAATTAAGTTAGTAATATTTAAATAATAAAGAGAATAAAAAAACAGGGTTCATTACGATGTAGGGAAGGTGTCAAGTGGATGAAGAGGACAGGTAGGTTAGGGCTCGGTGGCTTTGGCGTTCTTTGCTTGACAGATCAAATCGTCTTTAAAGAACCAAAGCTCAGACTTCTCATTTTTTTAATTTTAATATTTCTTTCATCATTTCACACTTCATTCCATACTCTTCAACTTGCTCTAATGGATTGATAAGGTTAAGGTAGCAGCTTATCTTAATTTTTGTATTTATTTGATTACGCAGTATTTGGTGATTATATGTAGTGGTCTTTCACCTTCTTACACAGTTAATTACACTTCCTCCACTTAACTTAAAAAACTTAGGTTATTAGATAATCCTTTAATTATACATCTTTTATAAGATTGTATGCAAAGTCAATCTATGATACAATTTATTTGGCCTTGCATATAACACTGACCATATACACCCATCATATTTTATTTTATTCTATTACGAGTAGTTCAGAATAAACTAATTAAACAGGTCAATTCTGATCTCTAATACATTGTAATCCACACAACCAATCTCTACATCTATACGTTACTAGATATTCATAATACAATGGCATTTTATAAAATACTTTTTATTATTTCTCAACAAAATCATATTCATAATAATATATACTTATATTCCAAAATATATGCCCATGAATATATGTAGCTCTATACCGATCATTGCAACTTAAAATGTAATAAATTATATATTTTGAGATGAAAAAATCATCAAAAACTTCTAGGTGTATATTAAAAGTATAAAATAAATTCAGGATGGAGAAATGCTATTATAATGACATTGGATAGATATAAAAATGATTAAAAAAATATTAAATTTCCATTTTGGACTTTCACTTTTTATAATCAGAACAACGACATAATCAAGCTTGATTGGATGAAAGATAAACATCATAAATTTTGCGGGGGCAGTTCAAAAGGTCCTTATTCCTAATTCTAGGTAAGCCTAAATATCTTTCCTATTTAGTCAAAATATCGTTTTTTCTTTTTTTTAGTTTTTAAACAAAAGATTAAGGAAAACATGTTTTTTAGATTAATTCTTTTGTAAGAATATATTAAAATCGTTTTACTAGTTGAAAATAACCTACAATTTTCTTGTTTTTAGTGTTTCCGAGAACCATTTTCAAAGTTTAGTCGCCACATGTTTTTATTGTTTTGTTCATTTTCTTTCTAATTTAATTACCTACCGACATGAATTAAGCTATTTAAAACACATTTTTAATTATAATTCGGAACTAAATAGATCTGAACTCAAAGAATTAGGGACTAAGTATAATTAATATTTAATTAGAGCTTGCGTGGTCAGCTTATTGGAAAAGAAATAGGCGTCCACATCATTCCACGGCAGCTCCAGCTAAGCAAATCTTATAAATTAGAGGCGAAATTTAGAATAAAAGCATGGTTGTTAAATCATGTATCGTATCATGTATTAAAAATCTAATTTTTTGAGTCATGTGTCGTGTATCGTATCATATCGTAGAATACACAGTTTTTTCAAAAAAAATAATTTTTTTTCTAAAAATTAATATCATTGCCTTGATTAATTAACGAATTTTATAGTATTATTGACTTTAAATTATGGTATTACATAATCTAAATTAATCACAAAATTAAGAATCTATATTTTTTCCTCTCAATCATTCATATCATTTTCAAGATCAATGTTAATATCTATATCTCCACCTGTGTTATTATTATTATGCAAAATAGGCAACATATCTTTTTTTTCACTTTCTCTATGCAAAATAAGTAAATTTGGGCAGGTTTTAGTGAAAAGAGTTAGATGACTTGGATTTAACCCAAAATTTTCTCAAATTAAAAAAATCATATTGATTTGTATCAATATTTTTAAGGATACAAATGGATACTATAAATGTATCGAAATGTTTATGATACACTATTTGATACATATCATTGGTGGTCCATATCGAATCATATTATATGATACATATCTCGTATAGTAGAATATTAATAACCATGAATAAAAGTTCTTATAATGTATATGAAGAGAGTTGACATCCTTATCATTTGAAGTGGTCAATTATTTTAACTTATAATGTATATAAAGAGAAATAATAGCTAAAGATACTTGGTAACAAGAACAGAGTAAATAAATGATTTTTAGGATAAGATAATGGGATAAAATAAGATAATAATAGTGAAGAAAAAGGGGCCTTATATTTTCACGGCCATGGTGAGTTATAAGTACAAGTAGTCACCTTTTATATTTTAATTAAATTTAAGAGGATTCTTGTCCACAACTTTAGCTTTGACTATATGATAAAGTAGAAAGAATTAATGTTTCAAATTTTGTTTTAGGAGATGTCAGATGTCCCATATGAATTGATGAGACATGACGTTGAATTTTCAATATTATTGCTTCATCTTAATTCCAAAATTAAATTAAATTAGGTTGCCAACCAATTAATAATGGCTTGACTTCCAGTCTTAGAGAGAGGTGGCTGCCTTCAACAAACAATTTATTTATGTTTCTTTATTGCTATTAATAGTATATCATAATTATTTTTTATGTTAACTTATGCCATTTACGTTAGTTGTTTTTTGGAAGAAATTAATGTTAATTAATTCTATAAAATAGACAATAGAATAGACAATATAAAGTTGACAAACTTTGGACAAATCACAGAAAATCATATAATATAATATATGAAACTAGAGGTAGAGGTGTCAAAAATGCTGGAAATTTTAGGAGCATATTTGGGTATCTCTGTTTAGATAAATTCTTAGGGTTAGAGGTGTCAAAAATTTATTGCCTGTCTAACCTAACTTATCAAATAGACTATAGATTGGCTTATTCTTGCATGCTTTTTCATCCTCATTGGCCTTAAGCTTCCCATTCTGCTTCCTCCATTGTTTCTCAGACTGATATGGAGCAACAAGATACTTCCCGTACTCGGTTACTTGCCTTCACGATCCATCTCCATATCTTTTTTTTGAAGGTTCATACTTCAAGCCTGCCTAATTAAACGACAAATCAACAAAAAATAAGGTTTTAAAAATAAATTTGACTGTGAACAGAGAATGAGATTGTAGGTTCTTTGTATTTAGCACATATATCCTCTTTAAATTCTTATTCCCACTAGTGTTCTAGCATTATCATTATGGAGCCAACATTGTGACATTACATTCAATCAATCGAGCGAACAAAAAAAGAAGAAATTTATGGACAAAAAAAGTTCCCTTTAGCAAATTATGAGTACAAATCAATTCATCCATAAAGGTCTGTTTCATCTTTTTCCTAGCAATTAAGATAACATTCAGATCATTCTATAAAAAGAATACTGATTGTGTCTGCCAATATATAGAGGCTTCTGATGTATACAAAAAAAGCACTTAAAGTTACTGTGTTAGTGTGTGAATATCGTATATGCAATTAAAATATTTGATATGGTAAATCAGAAAATATACTTCTGTCAAACAATGAATCTTTCAGGTGTTCGTCTGTAACTTCCAAATGCGTTGATACAACATATTGTCCCTTCACTCCTTGATTCTTGTAGTTCTTCTCCCATTTCCCCAAATGTTTATATTCTTCTAAGTTTTTCATCTGTTGTCACAACCCCATAAAAGAAATTACATGAATAGCACAAGGTTTCCATAATGCTCATGTGGTATGTTTCATTTAAAAAAATAAATAATAATAATAGAGAGAAAACAATGAATTCTAAATCATCCGATCCAGAAACAAAGAGGCGTGGAGTGGTGAGTTTGTTTTCCATTTCCCATTTGATGTCACAGCTTCGGCTTCAATGGTACCTTTTGTTATTCTGATAAAATGAGCTTTTGGGATCATGATAAGATATATGTGGCTTGAAATACAGTTCTGTATTTCCTCATTTTCCGGTAGGATTATTTGAGTCATTAGATACGCGGCTTGGAAACCATGAGCTGTGGTCTAGTTGGTAACTGGACTTCCAGTGGGCAAACTTTACCCTGAAAATAGTTTGTGGCCTCAGTCATTTACTCGAACCCCGATTGGGAGTTAGTCTCATACCTTCGAGTGTGGGGACGTCTCGAGGCTTTCATTAAGGAAAAAAAAAAAAGATACGTGGCTTGGAATATAATGTTGATCAAAACCAAGTGGTTATTTTAGTCTTACCTAAACTCTTAGTCAGCTCCAATTATTTTATTTATTTATTATTATTATTTTTTTAAATCAGAAATCTATATATAAATATAATTGAAAATTACCATAATAAACTTACAACTTATTGGATGTTTTTGTGCCCATCAATGATTTACATTAAGAATTTGTTACCAAACCTAAACTGAGGAAAAAAGAAGACATAAAGTCTGTATTCACTATGGATTTTGAAATAAGTAAATGGTTTATTCCAAATGATGCATTTGTTTTAAACATGAGAAGCGCACACTGATTGCAAAATAACACAACCATTATTTCCTACTGGAAATAAGAACAAAGAGAGACTACCTTTTTTTTGGTTTTATCAGAGAAAATAATTCAGTACTTTCTTTTATTCAATACTATCATAAGATTCTTGGAAAAATCAATTGTCACTTCCCATTTATATCTTTAACATAAAATTCATTTGCAAGAACAATGTGAAAAGGAGAAAGTTCTGTAAGAGTTATTTGTGAAAGAATGTTTCTTCCAGAACACAAATTTAACTCGAAGAAAACTTAAGAACGTAAGGAGCCTGTTACCATATCGCTAAAGAATTCTTTTAATTGAAGAGGCATCATTCACTGACTAGAAGATGGCTTTTAAATGAGCAATATGATAACAGTGGTTAATGTTCACTCAAATCCTTGGCCAGCAACCTGTGACCGACAATATAGAATTACCCCAAACTAGACCTTGTCACCTCATACGCCAAGAAGCATGCTGCATTTGCAGGAACACTTCGAGCCATTGCAGGGCCAAAACCCTTGTATAAGCCTTTGACACCTTCTGTTTTAAGGATCTTTCTAAAAGCATCCATGGAACCAGAGAACTTGGGATTTTTGTAGTCATCCACCTGAATAACGCTCTTTACAACATCAGTGGGGTAGACAGCTCCCCAGAATGAAGCTCCAGCTACACCTCCTGCCACAATTAAAGAGCCTCTTCCCAACTGAGAAGTGTCCTGGCCTCCAGCCATGTACTGTTTCACTGCTTCATAGACACCAAACATGGCAGCATTTCCGGGAACCTCCCTTGCCATTGTGGGAACCAAGCCCTTGAAAAGACCCCCCGCACCACCTTCTGATCTGAGAACATGCCTGGCAACATCCATTGGTCCACCATACTTCACTGCCACACTGACTGAACCAGAACCTGCTAAGGCACTTTGTGCTTGCAATCTGTTCTCACCATGAAACACAAGCAGTTAGCAGGGATAGTTACCTGTTTTAATGACAAGATGTCAAATCAAAGACTTATGAATTATTGTCCAAAGAATAGTTTAGAATCTGAAAAATTAATCAGGGACACTATCATAATCTGCAATTTACCAGAGAAGAAGCAAATTGATTTTTTTTACAAGAGATAATAAAGATTGATTCAGATGCTTCAAAAAAGTTTAAAAACATTAAAGAATAAAAACTTTTGTTTTTTAATGTTTTAAAATCCTCTCTCATAGATATCACTAGAAATTGTCCAGAACATGAAATTTCTCAATATCACAAGACTACTAAGCTCTACATGATTAAATAAAAACCTTCACAGAGAACAAAAAAAATTAAAAGATTAAAAAAGAAAAGGAAGCCTAGTCCGTGCGCAACCAATTTTGATGATCAACTCAAAAGATTTAATGGAACAAAAAAACCATAGTATAACAACCTGCATTTTATCAACTCAGTGGGGCAAGCAAGAAATGAAACAGCAACTCCAGCTCCAGCTCCAGCAATAATCTGCTGGTTAACTGTAAGGGGTTCACCGGGTTTAGACCTCAGCAATGCCTCCATTTGTCCTCTCACAGTGAAGAGGAGGGCATTGAAAGCTGCCACAGTTGCAAGAGGAGCCCCCATACCCTTGTACAATCCCCTTGGGCCTTCAGCAGCGACAGTTTGCTTGACAGCATCGATTGCACCAGAATACTTGGGAGGTTGGCCTGGGAGTGGAGCAGGCTGGCTTTGAAGCTTGACCTTTATGGTGTCAAATGGGTGCCCAACTAACAATTGTGCAGCCCCTCCAACAGTCCCAGAAAGTAGATCCTTGGCCACATCTGCCATCTGCAAAATTAGCTTGCAAACATGAATTCACATAATAGAGGGGACTAAACTGAAATGTTTAAAGAAAAGATTATTATGCCCGATTGTTAGAGTTGAAATCACTAAAAACAGTTGAGATATAGAACATCTCCAGTTTTAATACTAGCTTCAACTAAAGGATTGAGTCTAATTGCATATCCAAAAAGGACCTATTCCAAACTTATTTTCATCTTTAATTCTTTATGGAGGAGACCTAGAAAGTGGAATATAGTAGGAACTACCACAGATTCAAGACCTATTAAAACCACAAGTCCCAAGGAAGCAAAACAAGAACACGTAAAACACTATTATCATGATGGCTCAAAGGCTACAAATATGTTCTACAAGCCATAACACTAATCAAACAAACATGAAATTACCATAAAAATACATAGAAAGACAAAGAAACTTCCAGCAGGAAACTTAGGTACTCAGATCTAGTTTTATGCAAACAAGAATTACTAGAAAGTTCTATATTTACTCTGACTATGCATGATAAAACAAGCAGCTATGCTGGCTTCCTCGTTATAGAGTGAGAGAACTGTCTTTATGAAACACAAATAAACACCTTAGACTGGATAAACCCCAGTTTATAATTTCTTACATCCCGTGATATTAGTTCTGGGTACCAGACAACTGAACCTGCTATCAGTTCTAGTTGAATATCCAGCTTATTCATGGAAGACAGATAAATTACCACAGTTATACTTCTACCCTTCAATTAAGCAAATGTTAGCCCAAAAATTATGCCCTGTAATTGGATTTGAAGCATTATCTAATCCTTTTACCCCACAGGTTATTTAAAAGCAAACATTTACGTTTTCTTGAAAAGCATGACCACAATCAGAACTCAATGAGAAAATATCTTCCCGGAGAGGAAACTCTTAACTCAACAAAATAAACTAAGCATTACTAAGTGAATCCGCCAGAGAAAAAAAAAAAAAGAACATAAAACTGACATTTATATTGCTAACATTTTAACAAAATAAAGAGAAAGGCTGGTAAACGATCTTTGCCCATGAGCAACTTAAATTCAATTCACTAGTAAGCACGAACAAACGAGCTTTCACAATGCTAATATACAATCAAGGAATTAAGCTTCATAATTCAAAATTCATAGCTAGAGAAACAACAGGTTAAATTCATTTAGGCTTGAGAAAAACACTGATGAGCATTTTGCAAATGGATCATTCCTCAAGATAGTTGATTCAGGAAAATATATTAAAAATCAACAGAAGACAAACTTATGACAAGAAATTGACAGCTGAAAGGGGTTATTGTTGCTAAAGAACATAAACAAGCAGCATACCAGAGACTGGTCGATCCCAAACTAATCAGACTTTAACAGTGCCAAAGCTCAAATATGTTACACGCGTCAAAACACAAATGTCGCCAAATTGAGGTTCAGAATCAGGAAATATGCATAATCCAATTAAGTTAAACAAAGTCATCCAATCCAAAAGCACTTTCTACACCATATTAATTCAATTTACAAACATCCCATATGAAAATTTCATCCAATATAAATTTAACAAAAAACTAGGAATGAATCTTACCAGAGCCGATTCTTGCAGGCACCACCCCAAAGAATAAAAAAAAAAATCGAATACAATAAAAGTTGTTTCTCTCAGACGATTAAATCCAAGAACATTAGAGAAACGGGAAGTGAATATGTCCTATGAAAATGTAAAAAAGAAGAGCGCAAAAAAGGTGGAGTGTTGGGTGATGTGTTTTTGAAGGCTGAGAGATTTTTGAAATAAGAAAGTGAATCTTGAGTTACGGCCTCACAACCACAAGAGAGTGGGTGAAGTTAAACAAAAACCTACCCATTATCCTGGTGGAGCGTGGATTTAACTTCACAACAGAAACATGTGGCTGCAAAAATGTAAAATATAAACTATCATGGGAATTGTTGTTGGTATGGATGATGACAAAAACAGTAATTTGAGCCCATCTTGAGCCTCTCTTTTGCTCCACCAACCCTCTTCAGTTTTGGGAGAAATTTGTTTAGTATACACTGACGGCTGGAGTACACCCACAGAAACAGAGAGTGGACATTGGCGTGTAAAGTAAGGGGCTATATTTGGTAAAGAATAATATTATACCAATAATCAACTCTCAACAATATTTTCTTACAATTCTGACGTGATAATTCATAATTAATTAGTTTATAATGGATTTTATACGAATCTTGCATAAATTTTATTAATTAATTATGAACTATCACATCAAATTATAAAATAAAATTTACAAAAAAAGGATGTTCGTCTAATATTACTTTTTGGTAAATACAAAAATGGGAAGGGTATCAAATATAATAAATTATTTCTATTAATTTAATAAAAGATATCCTCTGGGAAATTTACTAAAAGAAGCCTCGCTATCAAATTGAAATCTTAACACTATTGATCCGTTTAATCCAGTCCATATAATGTCTTTTTTGGGAGCTAAAGAAAATACATCTCAAGTACACCAATTAATAGGTATGAGAGGATTAATGTCTGATCCCCAAGGACAAATGATTGATTTACCTACTCAAAGCAATTTACGTGAAGTTTTAGTCAATTAATTTTAGGTCTTGTGTTTTAAAATATTAGGTTTACCCCCTTTGAATTTAACAAATGTTTTGTTGTCTATAAAAGGAGGATTGGTCCATGGAATTAGACACAACTTTAAGGGCTTCTTGTATTTTCTCTCATTTTTCCTCATTTTCTCTCCAGCCAAACACCAAAGTCCCTCAAATTTCATGAAAATCTATATTAAAGATTTTCAGATTCTTGATTTTGGATGTAACATTTTGTTTGTTGGTTATCAAAATAAGTATGCTTAATTGTGCTAAGAGAGTGCTAGTTGAAACTACCTTTATTTCAGTATCTCATTCATAACTTAAATTTTATGTATATTTAAAACATCCTTCATTTCTTGATCGAGGAAGAGGTTGCATAAGTTTTTTCCATTAAATTTAATATTGGTTTTTTTGGGGGCTAAATTTAATGGTAGATAATAGTTTTTTTTTTTTTTTTTTTCCCACTAAATTTAATGGTGGATAATTCTTTTTGAAAATTTTCTTAATGTATGTTAAAATTTGTGTCACTTTTCATAATATCCCCTAATTGATTGTACTGTTGACATTTGAATGAAGATATTGTGCAGGACTTACTGCTGACTCCGGATTGGCTTTTCCTCTTTTGTCTCTAAGAATTGGTTTGACCTTTCTTTCATAATTCTTCATATTCACCTCAGCACCAGTTTTAAAATGATGAACTTGGCTTAGCCATCACCAGTATCAACCGCGGCGGAATTAGCCGATCGAAGCTACTTGATATCATCCATACGCAGGTTTTTCTTCAGAAAACTTACATACTTAGATCAAGCTTTAATTAAGCAAGGAAGAAGGAGTAGAAGGTTCTTGACTGATTTTTCAATGGGTGATTAGATTGAACTTTGTAAGCAAGAACAATGATAAAACTGCAATCTACTTCATTGAGAGAAAAATTCTATCAGCTTGTAGTATTGAGTTTCTCATTTTTTCTTACTAACTACTGTTACAAGGAGTGAATTATTTATAAAGAAAAAATTCGTGATCCATGTCCCTTGACATTTCAACCATTCAATCTAGTTCTCAACAAGCCAACAAACACAAAATTTTTAATAGGAAACCATACGACAACGTCTTTCAGTTCTGCTTGATCTAAGAGCCGATTCTTATTATTTTGAGTCGCAGCTTGCACTTCTAATGTTCACAATGGGAATTCAACCAGCAGCCGCTCCTTCATCCGTCAATGACACCGGTATGTCCATGAATTTCAATTGAGGCTCTGATGTATACAAAAAAGCACTTAAAGTACTGTGTTAGTGTGTGAATATCGTATATGCAATTAAAATATTTGATATGTAAATCAGAAATATACTTCTGTCAAACAATGAATCTTTCAGGTGTTCGTCTTAACTTCCAAATGCGTTGATACACTATTGTCCCTTCACTCCTTGATTCTTGTAGTTCTTCTCCCATTTCCCCAAATGTTTATATTCTCTCTAAGTTTTTCATCTGTTGTCACAACCCCATAAAAGAATTACATGAAAGCACAAGTTTTCCATAATGCTCAATGTGGTATGTTTCATTTAAAAAAATAAATAATAATAATAGAGAGAAACAATGAATTCTAATCATCCGATCCAAAACAAAGAGCGTGGAGTGGTGAGTTTGTTTTCCATTTCCCATTTGATGTCACAGCTTCGGCTTCAATGGTACTTTTGTTATTCTGATAAAATGAGCTTTTGGGATCATGATAAGATACATGTGGCTTGAAATACTTTCTGTATTTCCTCATTTTCCGGTAGAGTATTTGAGTCATTAATACGCGGCTTGGAAACCATAGCTGTGGTCTAGTTGGTAACTGGACTTCCAGTGGGCAAACTTTACCCTGAAAATAGTTTGTGGCCTCAGTCATTTACTCGAACCCCGATTGGGAGTTAGTCTCATACCTTCGAGTGTGGGGACGTCTCGAGGCTTTCATTAGGAAAAAAAAAAAGATACTGGCTTGGAATATAATGTTGATCAAAACCAAGGTTATTTTAGTCTTACCTAAACTCTTAGTCAGCTCCATTATTTTTATTTTTTATTATTATTTTTTTTAAATCAGAAATCTATATATAATATAATTGAAAATTACCATAATAACTACAACTTATTGGATGTTTTTGTGCCCATCAATGATTTACATTAAGAATTTGTTACCAAACCTAAACTGAGGAAAAAAGAAACATAAGTCTGTATTCACTATGTTTTGAAATAAGTAATAGTTTATTCCAAATGATGCATTTGTTTTAAACATGAGAAGCACACACTGATGTCAAAATAACACAACCATTATTTGCTACTGGAAATAAGAACAAAGAGAGACTACTTTTTTTTTGGTTTTATCAGAGAAAATAATTCAGTACTTTCTTTTATTCAATACTATCATAAGATTCTTGTAAAAATCAATGTCACTTCCCATTTATATCTTTAACATAAAATTCATTTGCAAGAACAATGTGAAAAGGAGAAAGTCCTGTAAGAGTTATTTGTAAAGAATGTTTCTTCCAGAACACAAATTTAACTCGAAGAAAACTTAAGAACGTAAGACTGTTACCATTCGCTAAAGAACTCTTTTAATTGAAGGATCATTCACCGAGTAAATAGGCTTTTAAATGAGCAATATGATAACAGTGGTTTGTTCACTCAAATCCTTGGCCAGCAACCTGTGACCGCAATATAGAATTACCCCAAACTAGACCTTGTCACCTCATCCGCCAAGAAGCTGCTGCATTTGCGGAACACTTCGACCATTGCAGGGCCAAAACCCTTGTATAAGCCTTTGACACCTTCTGTCTTAGGATCTTTCTAAAAGCATCCATGGAACCAGAGAACTTGGGATTTTTGTAGTCATCCACCTGAATAACGCTCTTTACAACATCAGTGGGTAGACAGCTCCCACAGAATGAAGCTCCAGCTACACCTCCTGCCACAATTAAAGAGCCTCTTCCCAACTGAGAAGTGTCCTGGCCTCCAGCCATGTACTGTTTCACTGCTTCATAGACACCAAACATGGCAGCATTTCCGGGAACCTCCCTTGCCATTGTGGGAACCAAGCCCTTGAAAAGACCCCCCGCACCACCTTCTGATCTGAGAACAGTGCCTGGCAACATCCATTGGTCCACCATACTTCACTGCCACACTGACTGAACCAGAACCTGCTAAGGCACTTTGTGCTTGCAATCTGTTCTCACCATGAAACACAAGCAGTTAGCAGGGATAGTTACCTGTTTTAATGACAAGATGTCAAATCAAAGACTTATGAATTATTGTCCAAAGAATAGTTTAGAATCTGGAAAATTAATCAGGGACACTATCTAATCTGCAATTTACCAGAGAAGAAGCAAATTGATTTTTTTTACAAGAGATAACAAGATTGATTCAGATGCTTCAAAAAAGTTTAAAAACATTAAAGAATAAAACTTTTGTTTTTTAATGTTTTAAAATCCTCTCTCATAGATATCACTAGAAATTGTCCAGAACATGAAATTTCTCAATATCACAAGACTACTAAGCTCTACATGATAAATAAAAACCTTCACAGAGACAAAAAAAAAAAAAAGATTAAAAAGAAAAGGAAGCCTAGTCCGTCGCAACCAATTTGTGATCAACTCAAAAGATTTAATGGAACAAAAAAACCATAGTATAACAACCTGCATTTTATCAACTCAGTGGGCAAGCAGAAATGAAACAGCAACTCCAGCTCCAGCTCCAGCATAATCTGCTGGTTAACTGTAAGGTTTCACCGGTTTAGACCTCAGCATGCCTCCATTTGTCCTCTCACAGTGAAGAGGAGGGCATTGAGCTGCCACAGTTGCAAGAGAGCCCCCATACCCTTGTACAATCCCTTGGGCTCAGCAGCGACAGTTTCTTGACAGCATCGATTGCACCAGATCTTGGGAGGTTGGCCTGGAGTGGAGCAGCTGGCTTTGAAGCTTGACCTTTATGGTGTCAAATGGTGCCCAACCAACATTGTGCAGCCCCTCCAACATGCCAGAAAGTAGATCCTTGGCCACATCTGCCATCTGCAAATTAGCTTCAAACATGAATTCACATATAGAGGGACTAACTGAAATGTTTAAAGAAAAGATTATTATGCCCGATTTGTAGAGTTGAAATCACTAAAAACAGTTGAGATATAGAACATCTCCAGTTTTAATACTAGCTTCAACTAAAGGATTGAGTCTATTGCATATCCAAAAAGGACCTATTCCAAACTTATTTTCATCTTTAATTCTTTATGGAGGAGACCTAGAAAGTGGAATATAGTAGGAACTACCACAGATTCAAGACCTATTAAAACCACAAGTCCCAAGGAAGCAAAACAAGAACACGTAAAACACTATTTATCATGATGGCTCAAAGGCTACAAATATGTTCTACAAGCCATAACCCTAATCAACAAACTGAAATTACCATAAAATACAT